ATATCTTAGTGAGGAGTAAAGAAAGAGGCTTGGTTGAAAATGTATCTTTGTTTGTAAGGATTCTTATGACGTTTTGGAATCCAATATATTATGGTAGTTCAAATTCATTTTGGTTCTTCGGGATATTAAAAATATTCAAAACTGACGTATGATTTTGAAGAATTTCTTCCTTAGAAAGGGAACTATAAGTATAAGTTGGATTACCACTTATAGAATTAAATTCAAGTTCTTCTACAATATAATTTATATAATGAGCCTTACAAACGAAGACAATGTTGTTACATGAATCTGCTTTGTTAGTATGTACTGCCCATGTAAACTATCTAATTATTTTTTTCACTTCTGGATTATTGAATTGAATACAGAAGGATAGATGGTTTTCATATTGCCCCTAAATCTTTTAATACGCACTTTTAACATGGATCTGATACAATTAATCCATTCTGACAAAGTTTCAACGTCTTCTAACATACCATAAGTATATTACCATGCGGTAAAATCAAAACTTACAATGTGATGATAAATAACGAATAGATACATGAACAAAGTCCAGTCTTGCATTCCACCATATTTCAAACAGAAGTCTACACCATGTACTTCCTACTGATATTTCCAATCTGTTGCTGCCAAATACTAGTAAAAGATATTGCCTGGATATTCCACTTCTAAAACAAACTCCTCTCAAGTGTTCTTACTCTTCTTTTTTTAACTACAATGCCGCTGGACACGTCATTACTGATGATATTAACGTTGTTTGATATGAATTCCCAAATACAGAAATCCCTCTTCTTTTAATTGGCGATAGAATTTAATGTTTCTCACGAATTCTGTCGAGGATTATGCCAAACATTGGGCACTGAATCGGGGGTGATAAAAGAGTTGAAGAGATTACATGCGATGAACAGCACGTAATGTTTACAGAAGACAAGACTGCTAACAATATCTTCTTGGTTTGTAAGGTTCATTATAATACTTGTATTTTTAAAGAACTAATTCTACATTTGGAAATTTTGCTTATATACTCGCAATTCACTTTCTAAGGAGGTTAGATATATCGACGACGATTTATCAATTACCATTACATATTTCCATTCAAATGTCGATTTTGGTATATCCCAGTGAACTTAAAATTAAAACAAACACTGCAGAGTCTGACTATTGACGACAAGGGCCAACTTAAAATTTAGTTCTGTGACAAACGAGCTCGATTTCTGATCAGATTTTCCTTCGTCAACTTCCCTTACTTACATGTATGTTGTACAGCAATTTCCCGCTATCAATTGTTTATAGTGTTGGTGTACAAGTCTCCTGTGCAGCTTATTTGCTACTCAAGAGCATGTCCTGAGTACCATCAATTTTCAAACTTTGGCAGGCTACTTACACATAGATTGATGGTACAGGGATTTCATCAAGTTTAAGTAGTATTTCGTAAATTCTATGGTCATTAAAGTGACCTTATTAGCAACTGAAATCTATATGTAACAAATGTAGCACAATCGCTTACTAGTGATCTAGATCTAATTGATAAATGGTCAAAAAAATGGCATGTTGATTTTAATCCAAACAAAACTGTAAATGTTGATTTTATCCGCAAAAACATAAAATATCCGCCCATTACATTTGGTGAACATGGCCAATCCATTATTCAAAATGCATCTCATACCCACCTAGGATTAAATTTTCAAGTGATACTACCTGGACATTGCATATACAATTAATTCATGAAAAAGCTACAAAAAGACTAAATATCCTCAGAATGCTTAAGTGTAAAGTGAAAAGGAAAATACTTGTAAAGATATATTTTGCATTTATTAGACCTGTTTTAGAATATTCTGACGTTGTTTGGGACAATTGTTCGGAAAAAGATGCAAAACTTTTAGAAGATATCTAAGTAGAAGCGGGTAGAATCATTACTGGTTTAAGATCAAATTCCTCTAGATCAAAATTGTATGATGAATTAGGGTGGGATCTTTTACAAACTAGGAGGAATATTCATAAATTGCTACTATTTTATAAATTCATAAATGGCTATTCACCTAAATATTTAAAGGACTTGACTGAACCTTTTCGTCCTACAAACCACCCCTATAATCTTAGAAATAATGATGCAGAATTCAAAATTCCTTCCATTAGAACTACATCATATATGGAAAGTTTCTTTCCATCAACTCTTAAACTGTGGAATAACTTGCCTGATTATATCAGAAATGCTCCTGGAATATCTTCATTCATAGGTCTTTTAAATTCTTATTTTTGTAAAAAAGGTAAAGAAATATATCATTTTGGAATAAGAAAGTACAATATAATACATTGTCAGTTGCGAAATAATGCAAGTAATTTAAAGGCAGACTTATATAACCAATTTTTATCAGAAACACCAACGTGTGAATACTGTATTGACTCTGTTGAAGATGCTCATCATTACTTTTTTGTTTGTCCAAATTATAACTCTCCAAGATATGTACTTTTCCAAACAATCCAAAATATTATTGATTGTGATCAAACTCATGAACTTGATTTACTTTTGTATGTAGTCCCAATCATGGACAAGGTATTAATATATAAATATTTGAAGCAGTACATGCTTTCATCACAGCAACCAAACGATTTATTTGACACTGTCATGTATGTTACATACGCCAACGCTTTCTAACCGGTACTACATTGTAATTTTTTTCCCTATCTACTTTTTTTTTGTTTCTTTGTTATTATTTTTGTCTATTTATTTTCATACCCTATATATTGTGTGTTCATCTTGACTTTGTAGGGAGAGGGCTAAAATAGGCTTTGCCTGCTGCCCAATCCCATTCACTTATGTGAATAAAATTTTGTATAAATAAATAAACTGAAATCTATAACTGGGTCGTATTTTGGCTGACTTGTTTCATTTCATTCCAACTGTTAGGCCTTTGTTTTTCAAATTGTAACTAATTTGATGAAAGAATTTTCCATCTCCTTGACTAATAAATGGGGCTCACGGCGGAGTAAAGGTCAACATAAGATGTTTATTCTTCCTATAAGCATTTGATCCCATCTCTGAAACCAGGGGTCCGTGTTTTACATGTATGCTCTGTACACATGCACATGTATTTGTACTATTCGTAGTTTTTATGAAATCGATCAGTTTTTATTGTACTTTTTTTTTTTACACAAAATATGTACATAAGCATCTCGTATGTTGTCGTAAATAAGTCGTATATAATAATTAAGTTAATATCATTATGCTGCATGTATCTTGGATCTATGATTTTTGAATTTACTGAAAGCATTTGGCATAGTAAATTATTGCAATTTTTTCTTAGTACCACCCTGTTAATTCTAAGAATACTTTTTTGACATTCTGATCAAAATTTCCTATAAAACATGGTTTATATCAATGCTGTTTCTCTGATGAATAATATATGTTTCTCCTTCTTTCTTTCTTTCTTTTTGCCTTTGATTAAATGAAGGACAGATGATATGATAAGATATTTGGATAACTGGATTGATACATATATATTTTTTGACCTACTCAGTATTTTGCTTGTAAATGATTCAACTGAAATATATAAAATTTCTAAAATATTAACACGATAAGGAATTCGTAAAATTGCTATGGTATCCACAATTAATTTTCCTGCAACCATCCTTATTGAACTATACAATTTTCCCCTATCATTGTGAAACTTTGGATGCTCAAATTAAACATACATATATGTTGTTTTTTTTTTTTGTTTTTTTTTTCTATATTATATAATTATTATTTTTCCTATTCATTTGCTAAATTATTCTTTTTCTATTCATTTGTTTTACTCTCTCCCTCTCTCTTTCTCTCTCTGAATTCATTCTAAATATGTACCAATTGATAATCGACTCTTCATACATTTTTTTCAATGTTTACATGTACTTGTACCTCGACCTATGGAGAGAACGTTCATAGGCATTTATGCCTGCTGTCCAATCCATTTCTATGAATAAAATATATTTTAAACTATAAACTTTGGATGAAAAATTAAAATCTGTAAAAAAAAGTTTTGTTTTTTTAAGCATATTTATTTTACTCATTTAAATACAATTACGGCTGTTATCAGGATTTTGATAAAAGTTTATTTGTATAATATCTTTAAATAAGATAACAAAATATTGATTTCAGAATTGCTTTAATTGGATTGCAAATCGTTGACTTTCATATATATTGTTTATTTTTTGTCTTTTTGTACCTTTTTCGTTGTGTAAAAAGTATACCCCCATCCTTTGTTTCACACAGTTCAGAACTGTCCAGTATTATTTTGGCTATATGAGTTACAAAACTGCACTCTAAAGATAATATTGGACTGGGATAGCACAGTTTTTGAAATAAAAGACTGAAGGAATTACTCCGTACACAATGCATTCAGATGCGAGCAGAATTCTAATACCGTTACTAAATATTATATTTAACTTATTTCTTTACTAATATGTATAGAAGTATATAATAAATTATTTTAAGAATTAACTAATTAAACAAGCAGTTACTGTAGAACCAACTTTTTATTTGTGGTTTTATTTTAACAAGTGAGTTACATTACAACAAAGAATTATCCAATGTTAATGTAGGACTTTTGGTTGAGTTTTAAAACTATTTATTTTTTTAATTAATTTATTTTTTTAAGTTTTTGATGACCGAATATCTAATGAGAAACTGTAATACCAAGCTTGGACGGATATTTTTTGTCCGAAACTTCAAAAATCTTTTTGTTGAAAAAAGTTCAACCTCGTATCCATTCCTTCATTTCTAAAAATTAATGTTTTTAGGCCTGCCAGTTTGAAATCATTGTAAAATAAGTTTTGATAATTAATCAGATTCCCATGAACTGCATAATTTCAATATTTCTCAAAATGTACCGATGCTGATAATTGTGATCTAATGAATTGTCAACGACAACATGTGATGTATTCTTTGAGAATTTTTGTTCGTTGACATTTTTAAGAGAATGTAAATAAATCGGGATCGGAATTTGCATAATTCTAATCAATAGGAGCAGCGCGAAGAAAACAATGACTTCGACGAACGATAAAATAGAGCAATTTTGCTCAATAACAGGTAAAATTCTTAGAAATACTTATATTTGTTTTTATTAAAATCTTGTTTACTTCAGGGTCAAACAGACCATATAATCTGCTGCAGTAACTGGGTGAAAATATAATTATACTTTTTGTTTGTAAACAATGTGTGAACTCTTCTGATTGCAAATAGGCCTATATAATACGGTTTCTAAACTTAGTAAACTATATACCATTTTTTGCCTAGATTGTCGCAAAGTCTGTACTCTTAATATATTTTTGGTTATTTAATGACTAAAGGTTTGTTTGAAATAAATAATATTGTAATTTAGCTTCATTTTAAACGTTGTTTCAAGAGTCTGAATTTCCTAGGATGTGCTACTTTTTCTATGTTGTGTATAAATGTATTGAAGTCTAGAACAGTGTATATGAAGTTTTTTTCCTTGTGTCACAGGGTTCAACATTAACACTAGTCTCAGGCTAATACATTTTTTATTGGGACTGATAAGTGTGACTAATTAGTCTCAACTGATCAATTAAGAATTGTGAAAACTAATATGAATAGTAATAAGTATTAATGATGTCTGATATTTGACAACTTTTATTGAAAAAAAACCATTTTAAAAGTTTTTTTTTTTTATATAGTTTTTTTGATTGGAAGCATGTAGCATTTGGAAGGGATAGTAGTAAGGGGGTTGGGGGAAGGGGGCCCCATAGGCCTTGATCTTGATGTCAGATGTTTTTGATTGTAAAAGTAGAGAAAAAAAGGTATCTAGAACTTACTGAATTTACAAATTTACTGAATGCAAGATTTTGACAAATATTTGGATAAAACACTTCAGGTAATTAAATTGTTTATTTAAGGTCAAGATCTAGTAAATAAAAGGTGCCTACAGATTTATCAAATTTGAGAAATAAATTCTTTTATTGATGCTTTACAATTTTAGCTTTGTCAAATAAGGTGTTTCGGGGCATGATTTGTAGGTAAACAAGATGAAAAACTGTATTTTAAACTGTCATTTTCAATGCAAAATTAAGAAAACCAGTCATGAAAATGCGAGTTTTTATTATATTCGACAAAGGAAATGTATCCAGATTGCCTACAGTCTCTCACAAAACAGTTATTTGTTTGTTCATGGCCTCTTCTTTAAATTAAAATAAAATTCAATATAGGTATCCGGTGTACTTTTCATATGATTTCAAATTGAATGTCAGGAAAATACCCTATTTTCTATATAATTCTGCTAAAGCAGTTAAGTACGGGAAAAAGAAAGTTGAAATTGATTATGACGTCATAATGAATCTAGCACCAAAAAATTAGTCTAAAGTCATTTACTAGATCTTGACCTTAAAAAAAAGTATATTGTGATGTTTATTTTTAAATAAATCAGCACAAAACTGATTTGTTTTTTAATGGTCTTACATAAAATTGAATGCAGATTCATCATGGTTCCTTTGGGTTCCTGGTGGAACATAGGGCCTCGGCAACAATTCTCCACCGTACTCTATTCTGGGCAGCCTTTTTCAGTTTTTCCCAGGTGTGTCCACATTGCCTGATCTCCTCTTCACATGACCTTCGCCAAGTTTTCCTGGGACGCCCAACTCGCTGTTTGCCTTGTGGGTTCCACTCGAGTGAGTGGCGTGTAATGTCTCCTGGTGGTTTTCGGAGGGTATCACTATGTCCAATCCATCGCCACTTTCTGCGGGCTATTTGTTTAGTGATTGGGTCTTGGTTTGTTTTTTCCCGCAGGTTCTTGTTGCTTATAGTTTCTGGCCATCTGATGTTTAATATGTGGCGCAGACATCTGTTAGTGAAGGTTTGTAGTTTGTTGGAGGTGGTGTTGGTGACTCTCCATGGAGAATGCAGATTAATTAGTAATAATGGTAATAGTAGTCTGGTTTGACTAAAGCCTTTTTACAAATGTTGAGGTTGAGCCCTGTGTTATCATGACCATCCTCCAGTTTCTAGAGAATGGGAGGGAGGTGGATATAAAATAATATTCTGACTGGTTTTATTAAATAATTATTCATTATCTTAGAGCGGTACATGTATTTGAAAATCATTAAAATTTATCTAAACTATTAAACTATTATATATATGATAATATATTTTTACATTTTACATCCAATACACCATCTGGTGTTTTTATTATCCAGTGTTTTCCCTTTATTTCAAAGTAAAGGGATAGAGATCTGTTGTAACAGGCTAGGGGCTGACATTTATAAACAAAATCTCTGTGGACCTTACAACAAATTTTTATTTCAAAGGGGCATTTTTGTCAATTGAAGTGGTCAATTTGGCGGATAGCCGGTTTTTAGGGAAAACACTGTTATCTTTGGCTATGACAGTGAATTAAACTTAACTATGTTTTCTTTCTCTTCAATAAACTATTTAGGTGCTGATCAAGAAGTAGGTAGAAATCTTCTAGAGGCCTGTAATGGGAATCTGGAGCTGGCTATAGATATGCACATGGACAGTGGAGGGGCTCCAGCCCCACCCCCAGCTGGACAGAGGGGGCCACGATCTGTGCAAAGCAAGTCATCATCAACAAGGGGGGCCTCAGCATCTGCTCCCATTGATGTAGAGTAAGTGAACAGAAAATATAAAATAGAGTAGGTAAAAAGAAAGTAGAGTAGGTAGAGGAAGTTGAATAGAAAGTAGAGTTGGTAAAAAGAAAGTGGATTATGTAAATGGAAAGGAGAGTATGTAAATAAAAAGAAGTAGATTAAGTTAAGAATGAAATTATATGGAGAGTAACGCAGACTGTGCTATTATTTACTCTTAAAGAGAATATGGTTATGAAATTTCACAGAAATATGTATCTTACAGAAATAAATTTTGGGCAAAATTTCTGATATATTGATATCGCCTCAAGCTGAAGCAAAAGAATGTGATAATGAAAATTTAACTCTTTAAAAATGGCATTTTTTTGTTAGAATGTAAAATTGTTCTATCTTATGTATTTTATTACATTATATTTGAAGTTAAATATAGTAATTTTTCTCTGATGCGATTCTTGTGAAAACGACTGTGAAAATGATGTCTCCTGAATTGACGGAGCACCACACTGTGTAATGCTCTGTGTAATGATCTATGCCAACATAGATCCAAAATATGCATATTTAAAACATGTAGTAAACTGATCTAATACAAATAGCAAATTGTTTTCTGACCAATTTTACACGGTAGATGAAGGAAATTAAGATTATCGACAAAAACTTCATCCGGACTGTAAAGAACATGATTGAGAGTCACCAATATCACACTATATCTCATAAATACCTGCAGCTTTTGGTTATAAAACAAAAAAAATGAATATTCTTTACTTATTTAATAGATTTTAATAGATTTTAAGCTTGACAAGAAATGTTGTTAGTGTTGAGGATGTACTCAAACGCTTTTGGGAAAATTTAACAGATAATTTTTTTAAAATGCCCTATGTGAGTCAAAGATTTTGCTGCTCCGTGACTTAATAATATGTCCTGTCACTCAAAATTGATACCAATTTACAACATTTTAATATGAAATTTTGAAGACCATATAAGTAAAGATTTTATATTATGTGTGTGTATGTCGTAAAATATTTTTGCAACAAGTCCGCGTAATTTTTGATAAGATGCTATTTTTTTTTATTAAAATGAAAATTTCTCTCTCTCTGGATTGATCATTGATTATATGCTGCTTAATGTCCCTATCATGAATTTTTCACTCATATGGAGATGTCACATTTGCCAGTGGAGAGCTGCAAATTTTGCCCTATGCTCAGCACTTATGGCCATTCAGCTGTGAGGGATCTTTTTTGTGCCAGCACCTACTGCGACACAGGACCTCGGTTTATACAGTCTCATTCGAAGGAGTGGTCTGCCACAGTGGGATTCGAATGCGTGACTTAGGATGAACAACTCTAGAGCAGACGCTGTAACCACTGCCTAATGGGGATGACTCTCTCTCTCTCTTTAGAAATGAAGTATAGAAATTGTTTAATTAAAAAGTCAGGAATATAAACCATGCATTTTGAGTCAGTGTTGTAATTTAACTGTTGATCTGGTATTTGTTTTCTGCCAATTTCAGAGATGATATAAGACTTTCCTATTCACCACAGAAATGGTTTTTGAGGATGTACCAGCTCTCTGAAACTGTAGACTATTTATAGTGTTTAAAGTTAATTTTCTTGCGCTTGAAAATCCCTTGTTATCATGCTTTGCTTTATGAAAAGTTATAGAAGTTTTAAAGTTTTATTTTGTATATTTAGTTATAGTTTTGCAGATTGATAAAGTTTATATTGATTTTATTATAGGCTTGTATCAATTGCCATACTAATTACACATCCTTGTAAATTTGATTTTTAATGGGATGGTATTGAAATCAAAGAAAGAAACTCTGAATTCTTGAACTTGTATAGAACTTCATATTTTATTGCATTGGTATAGAAAAGCAATGTGGTCATATTGACAGTCTTACAAAAACTAATAATTTTTTTTTCAAATATTCTTTTGTATCTCAATTCAAAAGCATCTTTTGATATTCATATGGTGTACTTTGTACTAATTTTCAAATAGTGATGTAGAAATTCTGCTACATGTAAATTAATTTAATAAAGAAAAAAATAAAGAAAAATTAGGCCATGCAAAGTTAATTCACTGGTTCTCAGGCCTTTTTTCAAGAAATATATGATGAGGGAGGGAGGCATTTTTTCTTTTTTATTGCCCCCAAAACATGGTGAGGCAGCTTTTTACTTTGAAAAAAAAACTCAAAAAAATAATGAGGGGGTTGATTAGTTGTTTTTATTTTATTGATTTAGCAATAAAAAGGGTCAATGAGGCACCCTTGGAAGAGATGAGGGAGGGCCTGAGAACCAGGAAATTAATTTTTTGGCTTATTAAATGTTGATATAAAAATTATTAATGATGGTTTTTCCATTCTCCTGTGATGTCATAGGCTTTCATAAATGTTATTATTTTTTTAATTCTCCAAAAATGTGATATTTTTTTAAAATATTCATATTCATGCATGGTTTATACCAACTTGCAGACAAAAATACATAAAATGATCTTAAAATAAGGGGCATTACCAGGTTTCTGGTAGGGGGTGTAGAGGAGGGTTTGACTTGGGTACTTTTTAAAAATAAATTTGTGCCATTTTGAGGGGTCTGATGCAATCTGCAAGTATTTTTTTTTTCATATTTCATAAAAAAAAAATAGCAGCATTTCTTTAAAAAGACGAATTACGAATCTATTTCCATTCTAGGAGTTTTTAAGAATCTTTTGGGTGTCCATTTGCTTCCAGTGCCAAACACATATACTGGCATATTAAATTGAATTTTAAAAGGTTAAAAATTATGTTAGATTTTAGAAATGTATATATAACTATATTATCTCAAAGCCTTGGATTTTTAACTGACAAGGAATACTTCTTGGTGTATAAATTATTGTATGCCATATACTCAATCAAGTTAAAATCTTTATTATTGCAACTTCAGTTTCAGCTCCACATTTGGATGAAATACTGCACCCACAAGATCGTGGTTGTTTTTTTCTCTTTGCTTCTTGTATATTTTTTTGCATGTATGGCAATATATTCAGTTTAAGACTCCAGTGCTAAACTTGATGGGAGCATATTGCAGTTATCTCAGCTTTATTTGTGAAGTGGATTTTTTTTTAATCTAATAATAGTAAAAATAATTTTTGACATATGTTTGTTTATTTTCGATTTATTTTAAATTCAAAAAAAAAGAAAATGAAGGAAGAGATCAATGTAATGTTTTTTTTTAACATCTTAGTGTTGTTTGTTAAATGTCACTTATTTGTAGGTAGATGTATTTTCAAAACATTTTCTCTTGGCAAGCATTATTTGGCCTTATAAACATAAACAGATATTGGTGCTAATATAAAAACTAGATGCCATTGCTTACCTAGCATGCAAAACAGCATACAGAGTTAGGAAATATTGCACTGCTCTCTCTCTCTCTCCGAAAATGCCAAAAGCATTAAAATATCCTGTGACCTTAGCCCACATTGCCAAAGTTGAGTTTATGCTATGTCCTATGCATTAGCATTAGAGTCAGCTCATCAGGTAAAGTTTAAAGAACAAGTCTCATTCCAAACTGAAAACCCTATGTGAACCACTCTTACATGAAATGCATCAGTGGATGTACATACACACAACCAGATTTTAGTGCAGGTTTAAAGTGAAGTTTTTGTGGAAGGTTTCGTTTTCCTAGTAACTATAAGCTCTTGGTTGATTAAACTTGCACCAATGAAACATAGAGGGTAGGCATTACTAAACGGAGGCTGGATCTGAGGTTTTATTTTATTTATTTATTTTTTTGCACGAGGAAACCTGCAAAGGTTTAGTTCTATACTTTGACCTATTTTTTGCTATCATATTGAAAGGTGACAGTGTTACTTTAAGAAAAAGGTGAAATTCAGAATATAGTTTGTTTCATCTTATCTTTCAGTCTTTGTTAAGATCGTCATGAAAATTAACAATCTTGAATCACGGTAGAAAGTGTTTTTCTTTTTATTAAAAAAAGAACTATGTCTGAATTCAAAACATGAAGACATAAACTATTGCTCATTGCACTTTGTTTTACACACTGATAAAGTGTTATTTCCATTTTAAAACTGGAACCACTAAGTGAAATGTAATTAAGGTCAGCTCCCAAAATTTTAAAAGTAATATCCATTTTGAATTTAAAAAAAAATTAATTATATAAAAACTGTAACAATCAAACTTCAACGAAAAATACTTCAAGATATGATATAAGTTGTCCTTTATTTCAACCAAGGAAAGGAAGGCTTGATTTGTCATATGTGTCATATGCAGTAAATATTGGCTAAGTTTAATACTGAGAACAATGTAAGTCGGTTGTGAATTTTCAAAAGTAGCTGTAATAATCAATGTTGAAATCAAGACACGCAATGTTCACTCGAAAGAACAGCCCCCACATCGGTAGGAGATATCCAAGTGTCATCTGATCCAGGAACATTTAAAGTGATCTTAGCAGATTTTGTAATAGATTCTACATCATATGGTTTCGTTTCATCTAAAGTTAATAAAGAACGTACTGATATATCGTTCTTATCTTCAAGGTTAATTTCAATCTTTTGATCATCATTATGATTTTGTTTTGAAGATGTTTTCAGTCGTTGGTGTTTCACTGTCAGTTTCCCTATTCCTAGTGTTGTGAACTGCATATGAAATTGTTTAATCTTCGTTTAATTCAGCCTCAATAGGAGTATCGTCTTTCTTATCTATTGTTTTGACTCGTGCCACCTCCATTTCAGGAAGAATACTGTTCGTTTCTTTTGGGGTTGTATCTTTTTCCTTTGATTGGCCACTGGTTGTATGTACGATGGCATGATTTTCAACATTGTCCAAGGAATTTTGAACAAGATCATTTTCTCCACCCCTGTCCGATTCGTTGTTATAGTCACCAGTCCTCTCCTGAGAATTCTCACTATCTATATTTTCTTTGCGTTTATCTGCAACCGAAACAATGTCATTATCTGTCAGTTCAGATATTTTGTCCCTTAGATTATCTTCTATGTCAACCTCAGCTTTTATAATGGTATCATCAGGTATTTCAGAAGAATGATCCCTTTCAGAAGATTCGTAGGAATCAGAGTCCGTCTCAGCATTTGCTACTGTAAAAAGTAACAATCCCCTTAATGTAAGGTGCTAAAATTTTTGTCCTCACATGCTTTAACAAACCCATTTTTAGGAGAGAACTCCGTTCAATGTAAAAAGAATATCTTTCTAATGAGAACTTCTCGGATATAAGGATAGTAAATGTAAAAGATAAACTCCTATTGCTTGTGTTGTATGTATTTCAGTAGTGTAAAGAAAAAATCCTGAAAGTCTTTAAGATACCAATTCTCTCTCACTATGATTGATAACAATAAGTAAACTTTGGTTTTTTGTCTTTTTTATATGTTTATAGATAAATATGTAAACAAACAACAAAATGAAAGATACAAATGCATGCTTACAGCTTGTACAAAAATATTAGAGCAATATTACATTGATTTATTTTTTTACACTTTCGTTTGACAATTCAAGAAAGCCTTGTTTAGCCAAGAAAAAAGACACTTCTGAGTCGGAAAGTAACACATTGTATGCTTTTAGGCTCAGTGTTGTAGAAAATGTATTATAATGCAATGAGGTAGTTTACCAAACCCTGATAGCGAATACCCATTGATCGATGCGATTTTTTTTGCTATTATGAACTGTATGTACATGTATATTAATAATTAAAACAACTTTCTATATTTTATTTAGAAAAACACACAAATGAAAAACAAAGAAAAACTTTTACATATTATCTGAATATGTAGCCTTCTAACAAATTATCATAAATAATTGACAATAAAGTATTTAGTTATCTTAATAAAGTTCATTCATATAAATGGATATTTTTTAATGTGTAGTATGATAATTGATATTTGAATATAATTTCGCATACTTTTTCATTATTAGTTTTACGTGGAAGAAGAAGACAAGCACGATCCGTTTTTGATGGTTTTCGGGATTTTCAAGCAGAAGCACGTAAGTATAAACAATTGGTTTGTAATTTGCATAATAAGAATGACATTTTTTATTTTTCCTTGCCAACTTTCCAATTACACAGATAATTTGTTAGGTTATTTTACACAAATAGAGGTATTGTTATGAGAATTTATTAAATACAGTGTTTAAGTATGTGAGTGATGAACGTATAAATCTTGGTAAAGTTAAAGTTCAGTGAAAAGGATTGTTAATACCAGCATCTTTTGAATGTTCACCCATGTTTTGTGTATTGTTAATTTGTTACGGATAAACTAAAAACAAGTCTTCACCCCTTCTCAAGAATTTAGATTCTGGGAATACCTTCAACCCCAGGACCTGGAATATCTTCTCTCATTGTGGGGAAGGGTGTGTCAAAAGAACCAGGTCCAATACTTGATTCTCTTTGATTAATTATGTCCAAAACGCTGTCATGTGTAGAAGGATCCACGTGGGCATGATCGTGGTCATGTACTACGTGTCTGTCTCCATGCCTGTGTACATGGAAGTCTCCATTTGGTAGTGAGACTTCATGAACAGATCCACTGAGCTGGTCATGTGGATCAGCACCTCCATGAGGTTGTTCTCCAAAGCGGATAGTTGTCCTTCTGCTAGGAATCCTCACAGTCTGAGGTTCAGTGTCTTTATAATAGGGTAGTGATGGTTGGCGAAAGTTTACTAACACCTTCTGCATCTTTTTAGAACCATCAGGTTGATTGGTGAATATTCTGATGATACCACCATTTCTTCTCTGAAGCTGATCAGCTCTGTCTCGGAGATGATTTGCTCTTTCTGCTTCTCTCATTTGACTGGAAATTGCCAAGAAGAGCCTTGAAGGTCTCCTCCCCATTGCATCCCCACCCAGTGGCATTTCCCTTGGGTCATTCAAGAATGGAGGTGGATCAATGGGTGGTGTATACTCTGACATTGGAGGCCCAAATTGACTCTCAATCCTTCCTCCCATATCCGTTGCTCCATCAGGAATATTGACATTTATGTTTCCATTTCGGCCAATTTTAAGCTTTTCTGATGTGATGATTCCATCTTCAAGGGCAGATTTCAGGAAGAACTGCAAACCTTCAGCAGGTTGGCCTTTCTCGGTGGAATAAGTGGCAGCTTCTTCAGGACTGTCATGAATGTAAACACAAATTTTCTTTAATCCCTGCAGTTTTCCGGAATTAAGAACAAGATGGATTACTCCAGTCGTTTCTAGTGTAGAGTCAGACCATGATTTTACATCAGATGGCCCCTTCATATAATTACCAACTGCAGCTCCTTCAATACCTGGTCTGTCACCATGCATTAAATTCCCCCTTCCTCTGATGGACAAATCCACATATTCACCGCGATTAACAGGTCCATCAACAAAGTTTCCATTAGCGTCAACAACTGGTCTTAAATTTTCTGACGTTCTATCAACCATTCTTGGATCCATACCACCTGCTCGCATTCTTTCATCAGGGTTAGCTGGTGGTATGTAGTTATCCATTGAAGGTTCAATTGGAGGTACTGTTGAAACTTCAATAGTATTCATGCCAGGGATCTGATTTGGTTTAATAAATGTAGGTCCTTGAATTGGTGGCCTGTCAAGACTTGTCTCTAGGGTTCTGTAATCAGGGTTTATGGTAGGATCCCTCCAGAAAGAATCGCGTCTTTCAGCATCATATTCACCGTCTACGAAAATATCTCCGATTTTGAGTGTTGACCATCTAGATGAGAATTCTTTTGAGTCTTCTTCACTCGAACTTGAATCATCATCACCTCCAAGTCCTAAAACAGTTCCTCTTCCTCTTCCTTCTTTTGAGTCATCATCAATTTTTTCATTTGAGTCGCTTTTATCCCCCTCAGTGAAAGGCATTATTGCATCGAAATTTAGATCAATATTATTTTCTTCGCTACTGTCACCATCTGCTCCTTCCTTCGAATCACTACCCATATTTAAATCACCAACTCCATAACCCAGCCCATCACCTAACATACCATTTTCACCAAAGTCGCTACCTATGCCTTCCTTACTGTCAGAATCGTCTCCACACCCTATGCAAGTTTTCTTTTCGCTTGAATCATCCTTTATGCCTTCTCCTGAATCACTATCAGTCTTTTCCGTATAATCAAATCCTGTACCCAGTCCTAAATCACCTCCGAATCCTCCCACGTTGTCATTGTCATCAGTTTTACCGCCATCTATACCTTCTTTTGAATCATCATCTCCAGCTCCTATAGCTGCTCCAAGACCATCACCAGCATTTCCCATAAGCAGTGTTTTGTCTGAACTCTCTTTGCTGTCATCTTTAGATTCTTCTGCAACCTCCATTGGCTGAAGTCTCATACCCTCAGGGATGTCCAGTTGAGTATTCCTAATCATTTCTGAAGGTTCATTGAGGTCAGCAGCATAATTGGATGGCTCGGGAATGAGTCCTGGCTCGGGAATGAGACCTGGAGCACTTGAATCGCTATTATCTGATTCGGTATTCATTATTGGATCACGAGGTAATGAATTTTCTGTCAAATCAGCGTCTACTATAGGATCTGCAAGGATGGGTCCTACGTTGTCAGTTTCAATTCGTGCGTCTGTATTTGATACGCCATCGTCTGTGTTACTGTCTGTGGATGCTCCATCGTCCTCAGTATCACGCTTTCGAATGTTATGGATTCTTGATTGTCCTCCAACAACTGTGGGGAAGAAACGATAAATACGTTAAAATATTTCTGTTACATATGAAATTAAAAGAAAAAAAATTCATATTTAAACAATTTGTTTTTATAATTCTATTAATATAAATACAAGTATAAGCGCCTTTCACAATACTCACATATGACAAAGAGACATAGTAAAACAGCCGCCCGGCGAAGATCCATCAAGACAAAAGTTCTAAAAGTAAAATTGGAAAGAAATGAGAACTTACAATTTTATTAGATCGTTTGAATTAGTTGCCTTAATGTTAAGGTATTTCACAAGCCATTGAACAAATATAGTTTATTAAACCAAAAATGTTTTTTTTTACATGTTAAATAACCTTAAGGTATTTGTTTTAAAAAGTCAAAACAATAAAATGTGAGAAAAGAAGAGGGAACTCTATGGCATTGTATGATATTAAGAAGGTGAAACGAATCCTTTCAAGAAGGATTTTTTTCTATACGTCACAGGTCAACAGGAGGAAATGATGCGGCCGGGTAACAGTTCCTCCTTTAAGAAGAGAACGCTGGAGGACCTATTCAGACCCCCCATTGATATCACATTCAAAGGGTCGTTCTCTGCCGTAAGAATTATTGACGTTTTGCTAGTTCTTATCGATGCATTTTCTAATGCAGTTAGACTAAAGAAATTCGATTTTAAAATGCTTGAATTTATCCAAAACACTATTTTCTGAAAAGATGTTATTTTTTTTACTGAAATAATGATCACAGTATTATTAATTTTTTTAAAAAAATTAATTTTTAAAAACTTTAAAATTTAAAATTTTAATTTTTAAAAAGCTTTTTAATGTTTTATTTTTCATTTGTTTAGAAATATACTGATAAATAATATTTTTTAAAAATAAAGGCTCGGGAAGCTGGACAAACTTTAAACAAATACGTGATGGTGAATGTACAGAATGTTAAGGAGTTTGTATGCCAGGCCCTCAATCGTGATGTCTGGAGTCACGAAAGGGTCAAAGCCATCCTCAAAGACCACTTTGTGTTCTGGCAGGTACATTGTAGGACAATTTTATTCATGTAGCATTTTAAACGTTTATAAATTTCATTTCTAAGTATTTTTAATTTATGAATGAATTTATTTATTTATTTGTTTTGTTTTGTTTTAATAAAGAGAAATGTAAAAATTAGAGAAAAAAAAATTACACATTTGGTTATCTTTGGCTTAGAATTTGATTAAATTTATTTTACGTTTACAAATTGTGCAAAATATTTTATTTTTTTTAACTTGGTTTTTCAATTCCTGTGACACACACCTACTTATTAGACGTACTTTAAAAAAAAAAAACATTTAGTTAAATTTGATTTCTTTAGAGAAAAAAATCCGTATTTTATTTTCACCAAATTCTTGTACTTAAAATAATTTAAAACTGGTAAAATTATTTAATCCCATTCTGAATTCCAAAGTAAGTGTTAAACATGAAAATAAAATTGAATGGAAGTTTTAAAACTTGACAATCAAACAAAGAATAGTATTTATGATATTGAAAAAATATTTTAATTACCTTGTATGGTGAAGCAAAAATTCTGTGTTCTGAAATCCCACCAGAAATAATCAAAATTTCAACCAGTCAGCGTCAAAACGAAAATGATTCTCCAAACATCACACAAGGGGGTTAAATACACGCTCAATAGATCAACACAACTAGATACATCATTGTAATTTATTACTTTACTTATTAAAATGCAAAGATACTCAAGGTTGGCTCTTTGAAGTGTATAATGTTTTTTTTTACCTCACCCTGTAAAATGGTCATAAAACGTTTATGGAGCACGTTGGACTTCATGCGAACCATAGGATTTTCAAATTTTAAACATTTTTTAAATAACAAACGCGCAGTATGGAAAAAAACATTAATTTCAATTAGGCTAATTTTTTTTTTTTTTGAAAATATACAAACAAACACAAATGCGATGCGTATTTCAATAAATTACACATCAACACATCAGTTTAACCAACTTTTATATTTCTTTTCCTTGCATCCTTTGAGATATCAACGGATTATTTGTAAAGAATAGGTAGCGAGGGATAAACTAAAAAAAATCATAGTATACAATTTTGCCGAGAATAGTCGATTTTATTTGCCAGATATTGTTCAAAATTATGCAGGAGACAGGTTATATATATGCTATATACAAAAGCACAATTTTTCCTTGAAAAATTTTCACGGTGTACTAAAATTCACTAAGGACTTATTATGAAACACAAAATAATCCGCGTATTCTCCTTTCAGTGTGTTCAAACGAACATTTTCGTGGAAATATGGATCTCGGAAAAAAAGAACATGGTTTATCCAATCAAAAACAATCTGTTGTTTACGTGCTGAGGATATGAACCGAGATTAGAAATTAAAAAGAAAAATTCAGGTCTTTTTTCCCCTTTATTCACTATAGCATGAATGTTAATTAGTACTGATTAACTGAGAAATTGGGACTTTTTAAATACCAAATGTCAATTCATCAGAAACCCTCGCAATTATACCATAATTTATGGTCTAAATACATTGTTTCAACACGTTCTGGTGTTAAACAAAGGGAAAGGTTGAGTAGTCGATGTTCACGTTAACTCACAAAGTGATATTTAAAATAAAATTTTAATATTCTTGCGACTAAAAAAATCTGAATATTTCCATCTAGCCTAATTACTCGTTCAGTTATGGTATAAATCCTTTGTTTTTCATTTTGCTCTTATAGTTAAAGGAAATAAAGAATTTAATCGTTGGGAAGTGAATAAATTATTGAATTTTATAATAATTATGTTTGAATGCAATGTTGCCATGTAAAATTCGTGGACGTTTGTTTGTTAGTTTTCTTTTTTTTTCTTTTTTAATTTTTTCAATTTTTTGTTAAATGATCCTACATATATTTATGTATAGCAAAATATTTGTTATGAAAAAAAAAAGAATTAGGAAAGTTAGATTACAGTTATTTGAACTTTTAGTTTAGTAAAATTGTGATCTTCATAGTTTACAGATAGTGCATTTGGCCACAGGATTTAAAATCTGATTAACCTAGAAATAGAGTTTTCTACTGAAAATATTTTTTTCATTTTATAGAACAAATAAAAATAATATCTCTCAAATAAAGTGATTGTCTTCAATTTTTATATACTCGTATGTAGTATCGTTTGTTGGACAGATTTTGAAAATATTAAGACAAAACCACAAGAAAAATATGTGTCAAACATTGAAGAAAAGCTATACCAACCATCCGAGCTGAACAGCTTGCTTCCAATAAGAAAATTAGGTTTTGTTTTAAATATGGTTGAAACGACGCCAGAAATAAATATTATTGTTTCAACGACTGAAAATTATCGGAAGTATTTATAATGATGAAGCTGGTAAATTATCGTATTGGGCTGATTTTTTAAAAAAGTAATTATGGATTACATGTTCATATTTTCGCATTTCGCGTAAAAAAGTGATAAAATTTCAGATTCCATATTTTGGACGTTATTTCTATTGACAACTTTCGTACACTGGTGTAAATTTTCAAAAAATCTTAGAACAGGTTGAAGGCTTGTTATTCCATTCTTTTTGTAGGTGTATCATGACAGTGAAGAAGGCGTGAAATTTAAACAGTTTTACAAAGTTGAAGAGTACCCGTATGTTGCGATTATTGACCCCAGAACAGGTAATGTCCGATAGAATAGAATAAAATACTTAACTGAATTTCAAGTATTACATCTTAGCATATTTAGGTATGTTAATTTTTGTTTATGGTATTTAAGTTGTATATAAGGGGTTATATATTTCAGGAGAAAATATTGTGACATGGAACAAAGGTCTTGATTCTTTAATATTCTGTGATCTAGGTAAGTGAGTTCGATACACTGGTGCATACAAATAAAATTACTTAATACTAAGCTAAATGTAAATATCAGTTAAATGGGTAATAATTGAGAAAATTTGAAATCTTTTTCTCAATGTTTATGTCATTCTTCATTTAAGTTACACATTTTCTGGCGGAACATCCATATTCAGATGATTCATTCAGCTCATCGCCACCACCTGCCAAGAGGATCAAGCGGGTAAAATATTCTTTATGGAAAGCTGGGTTTAATCTGAGGACTATACTTTTTAGTCATTATTTTAACATGCCTGAAAATGAACGAAATTGTTATAGCTTGAACTTCAGTTCGATTGTTTGCTTTCTGTTACAGGAAGCCAGTGTTGTGGACTTAAGTGAAGATGACCAGATAGAGGCAGCCATTAAAGCCTCACTTCAAGAACCCAGTAAGACCGTTACCTACATTTCTGATAGTGATGATGACAGTGAAGATGATGACAACATTGAAACGTTTTCAGACACAGAGGACGATTCTCAGTCTTCTCCTGTGAAGAACAATATAATGTCTAAAACGGACACTCAGTGTGAAAGGGATAAAAACAATGATGAAGCCCCTTGTTCATCTAAAATGAAAACGTTAGGAAGTGAAAAAGAATGTAATAATTGTGAAACAAACAATATGGAAAATGGTGTTACACACTCTAGTTCAATTTTAAGTGATGATAGTTATAAAAACTACCTCGGAAAGGAAACAGGTATTTGTATTGGTATATATTTCAGTATTAGATCACAAAAGTTTCTTCTGTTATTTTACCTTCATTGAATAAATACTATAGTTATAAATGTATGGTCGAGATGAATTATGTTTAAGTTTTTCTACCATTATTTCAGATCCTCAATACTCCATCATGATCAGATTTCCAGATGGCAAAAGGCAGCAACTGTCCATGTCTTCTAAATCAAAACTTATGGTAATGTGTGAGAATGCAATCAAAACAATTTAGGCCAAAATTGTCAAAATTCTAGGATATATTGTGGCAGAGATGTTCTTCATGGTTCATACTCTGAAATTTTTAGAGTAAAAGAAGATGATGGATTGATGTCATATTAAAGTAACAATTAAAGATTCTCTTTTAAAAATAAATATATATTTTTCCAGAAAAAAATGAGAAACAACAGTTTTAACTTTACTTTGTCTAACTCTCTTTTCAGGCACTTGTAAAGTTCGTAGCAGAACAAGGCTACTCTAACGAACGTTTTGAATTGCTCACAAACTTTCCCAGGAAAAAGCTGTCCTACATGGACTTTGATCTCACCATTCAGGAAGCTGGACTTAATCCTCAGGAATCGGTTTTTGTTCAGGCCAGGTGAAAACAAAATGGATGCAACAATACAGAGAAATAATTCAGGAAATAACTGACCGTGAACGGTCTTGCTGGGGTAATGTGTATTCCAGAGTAAGGTAATTCGTTTCTGATATTCAGGGAATTCTTAGTCACACATGATTGGAACTTAGTTTTTTTTTCGAGGAAAGTGGTTTAAATGTGAGAAAAGTCAATTTTTCTTGATAGTGTCCGAATTTGCGACTTTACAGTCACATTTACATGTATGTGGCTGGTGTATGTCGTTGAAAATTGTAACCATTCACCAAAACGTCGAGGATTAATGAATTAAACTACAACACAAAAACGACTATGATCGTAAGTGATGGTTTGTATGTGTACATGTAATAAAAGTGAACCGCTTAAGACTGAACGAGAGAAATATTCCAAGTTTTGCTCAACAAACCACTACAACCTCAGGATGTTACAGTTTTTGAAGGTCTAGTGTATCATATCACGTCTGTTAATTCCTCTATTTTTGCAATACTTGCATATGATACAGATATCTCCAAGTTTGCTGTCGAAGTGCTTCAGAAAAAGAAACACATCAGAATCTCAGGCAAAACTGGACTGCTGGCTGAACGGTCCAATCCAGATCGCACAATAATAATATTTTTTGTATTTAATATTTATTGTTTTTAACAAAAAATATATTTGATAAATGTTTTATCGTCTATAGATACTAGTAGTTTTCTGTCGAAAACTTGAATACTGTATTATTAATAAAAATCCTTGAATGTTTATACTATACAATCTGATGCTTTTTCTTTCCGAAGATTCTTCACTTACAAAGAAGATTCTTGATTACAATTACAATATTCTTCAGCCATCCTTTCATTGATTTCATAGAGGTATCATTAATCTGAGTAATAGTATTGCCATGATATGAAGACTAATATTAAAAGTAAAATCACGAATTTCTTGGGAGTTTATTCATTTTCAAAATTTTATAATAAAGTATGCAATACTTCTAAAACATTTTCCAACCACGAAATCAAGTCCCTACAAAGCAATATTTTCCCCCCAAACCTCAAAAATTGACCATACGAAAAAATGTGATTTTACAGAATATCATGGAAAGTATTTTATTTTTTAAGGAATAAAACTTTTGAAGGGTCATAAGGTACTGAAGATTAAATTGGATAACTAATATCTTTTAGTTTTACTTGTTCAGGAGATTGCCCCCTAATAAAGGTCGAGATCGGAATGCTCCAGGAAATGACATAAGCAATGTAAATTAATGTTGATGACATGTTTATTGGGATTAGCCTGGCTGCTCAATGTTTAATGCTCAATTAAGTACATAACTGTGAATACTACATCTTATTAAAAATCAACATTTGGGTTTGCAAGATATAAAAGGTGTTGTCCTTTTATGTGGCATCTTAAGTATTTGAAACATTTCCCCCAATATTGATGCGTTAAAGGATCTGGGTTAATATTACAATTTAATGACCCAGAAATTTCAAATAGGTCACACTAATAATGTCATAATATTTTGACAAAGAATCTCTGATAAATCGACAGAGACTATTTAGCGTAATAATCACGTTTGATGGAGTCTGTACATTTGATATCCAGATGATCTGAAGGAACATATGTCTACAAAACGACAAAGAAAACAGGTAGTATACTGGTTTTGCAAGTTCTTTACTCCTAAATTGAAAGCATGCTTATGAGAAGATGTCTCGGCAACAAGGGGTAAGATTACACTCTTCATTTATCGAATAGGTTACATATCATTTCGTAGACTGAGAGGATACTCATACTTGTTCTCTTTAGCGAACCAATAGGTAACGTTCGCCATTCAGTTAACCGATTGGTGATTTGTGTCATTTAACTGACTGATGGGTGACCTGTTCAGTTAACTCATTGATGACTTGTGACATTCTGTCAACTGATTGGTAACCTGTTTTACACAGTAACTGATATGTGACGTGCCATTCAGTGAACTGATACGTGATATGCCATTCAGTGAACTGATACGTGATATGCCATTCAGTGAACTGATACGTGATATGCCATTCAGTGAACTGATACGTTATATGTCATTCAGAGATGCTATTCAGCGAACTGATAGGTCACTTTATGGCAGAGATTTGTTTGCAATTTAATAACCTTTTGTGGGCCTTTCAGTAAAGATTTTGTGACTGAAGGAAGCTTTTTTTTATCCTGTAAAACGTATTTTTTTCTCTTTAAATGCTCAAATCTACAAAATTTACTTTGAAAATATTCAGTTTCCATTTTCACAAAACCTTCTCCATTCCTTTATTGTTTTGGGGTTTTGGATGAAAAAGTGAAGCTGCAACTGGACTGAGTACTGGAATTAGTACTTGGAAATTTTTCCTGATGGAGAAAAATGGAATCAAAAAGAAGTGAAAATGATTTATTTAGATACATAATTATGATGCATGGAAAAAAATTTGAACACATATGAAATAACGCTACATGACTAATATTTAAAACGCAAATTTCATATAATTACTATAATAAATAATATTGGGTAGCATTAACAAGGAGATTCAACAGTGATCATATTTCAACGAATCCTCGCACAATTACTTTCTAGACTGTATCTATTGCTTATTTTTTGCTTTATAACAAAAAACATGAAAGTCAAATTTTAAAGAAAAATATATGATAATGCGAAATCGACAGTTTCACACAGCTTTATGAAAAACCTGGTAAAATGTTTTGCATATATTATGTATTATGAAATAATTAATCAAATATTATTTTTTTAATATAATTCACACTCAAACACTCACTTGCAAATGTGGTGATTGAAGTTTTTGAGGCAAATCATGGATTATTAAAGGCTATAACAATGACAAAAGATATTCAAAATAAAAATGTCAATCAATAACTTACAATAGAAAATTAATACACGTAGTTCATAATTTTAATTAACATATCTTAAAATTTTAATAGTTTCATATATTGGTAATTGAATGGAAGCCTTTTTCTACACAATGCAACATGAGACGAATAAATGGCGATATGATACATTATTTTCTCTAATATTGCATGCATCAAACACATTACAGACAATTTGCTCAAAAACAAAGTAAAACTACAAAACAACTCACAGTAATATGAATTATATTAAACCTGGACAAGTACATTTAACGTAGCTTGTAGACTGTTTTCTGTATTATGCAAAAAATCAGAATAGTATATTAATTTCAACATGTTTTACTAGATTGAAAAAAAAGTTAAGAGAAGTTTTCCCCATGAAATTTCACTGTTCAAAATTTAACAAATAAAGCTAATACTTATATACTTCGTGAAATGATTGTCAAATACTGGTAGATGAACATCAGCCTTACATACTAGATGTTTAACATGTGCTAAACTACTGAGTACTAATCTTTTTTTCCCCAAAATAAGTTTTTTCTTCAGAAGATTCAGCAATATTGTGTTAAAGATAAAAAAAATATATACATTTTCGAAAGCATGTTAATAATAATGCTTAAAAGACGGTCAAAAAATTTAATTTTTCGAAATGTTTTACTTCATTTTATTTAGTGTATTCATGATGTGTACACAGCAGTCACCGGAGGAAAAACCCCGCGCGGATACAGCAAAGACCGACATGATAACTGGTTCACAATTTTAGTACATATGCACTTGGATCTGACTCCACAGTAAGTCATGAGTGGATCGCTCAAGCATATCAGTTAAGCAGTCTCCAATACTGTACTGAACATTATTTGCTGGGAGCAAAGTACCCTGATAAAAGTTCATCAAAGTTCACTGACATTCAAAGCTTTGTGAGGTCATCAAATTCTTTTCTGAGTTCATACTCATCACTATGGCGTTTTCCGTTTCCCAATCCTGGGCTGCGATGTCCAAGTTTTCCCTCAGACTTCCCGTGTTTCCAGTGGAAGCCATTCTCATGTTTCCCTCCATTCTTTGTAACGTTCAGGTTCTCGTTGCTGTTGTGGATTGTGGTTCGTCCAGTATGAACCGTGCTGTCCGCCAAGTTTCCTCGAGATTCGTTACCTCCCTTGGAACACGTATCGTGCTGCGATACGATTGGACCACGCCTTCTCTTGAATGTCCCGGTTTTGATCAGAAGTACCCATGCAGATCGGGCTTCTGTATTAAGAAGGCACCGGAACACAAAAATAAGGAATCCCTGTAAGGAGTTCAGAATTGTAAATAAATAGTTGAACACTATCTTGGACTCATTTATTGCTACTGGACCGAACACCCACGTGACTCCCAGCAACACCATAACAGTAAAGGCACCGCGCACCTGCGCAGGTGACACTTTTTCTTTTTCATTCTTTCCAATACTTCCTCTGAACCTCGGTTTCATGATGACCCTAGCAACAAGCGTGAATACGACTGTATTAATAACGAGGATGACACAGGCTGGGCCCAACAGAGCAGCGTAAAAGGCGATGGTGTTGGCTTGCGAAATGAAGCAGCTACAAAAATTAAAGTTTTAACTGAGACACTTAAAGTAAGGCATTTGATTTGATTATTCAAAAACATTGAAACTGGTTATATTGCAAGGCTTTGATACGAGGATTACTTACAAGTTGGTCTTGGTTTGGTAATTGTCAAGTTTATTAATTCCCATTGTAATACCAACCACAACCAATGGAAGACCTATTAAGAAATGAAAAAATATATAAGAAATGCAAAAAAATAAACATTTTTTTTTTTTGAAAAAACTAAACATGCTAAATTTCTTTAAATATCATGCTTTTTTATTTACCCCAAGCAACAAGACATCTTTTGAGGATGAAGTAAGAAGAATAAGTGGTGAAGACTTTAATAAGAGCCTGGTACATGTTGACAGCCTCTGTGCACATCCACATCAGTGACGTCAACAGGAAGTAATGAAGCAAAATGGCGGCTATTGTACAGAGAACCATGCCGTCAGATCTAGTTGTCTCTGCCATTAGAATGAAGGTGGCGTTCATAAGAAGCATGGAGACGCACATATTGAGCAGGATCTTCCCCGATCTCTCCCTGTTCAGTGATCTGAAATGGTTCCACGTTAAAGGTGTTGAGGCATAATATTTGGTATGCGCTTGTGTGCAGCAAAACAGATCTTTATATACAACGGCTTGAAGACACTTTCAATGTTTAGTTTTAGGTGTTTCAAATAAGATTATTTATCTGAAATGGTTTGGTTTACTGAAATTTGTGATTAGCTGCAAAATATACGAAATTACAAAATTAGATTTTAATAGAATACATATTGGAAAATAATCGTAGTGAAGTCTCATCATGCATAATGAAGCACAATTAAAACCGTTATACTTGGTATTCCCAGTAAATTAGGAATAGATTCTTCAAATAGATACATTTTTAAAGGCTAATTGGCAGAAAAACCAAGATAAAAAAATCTTTTGATGTTAAAGTTTTTCTCTTGTTAATTGTAAAATTAAAACTATTTAAGAATCTATGTGTAATCTGTCCAATCATATTCTAGGAAAAATAAGACATCCATCATTCTGATTTTACAAATTAGCTGTTTACACGGTTATCGCCTGGTTAATTATCAATTTATCATATTGTCAAGAATTGCGTTCTGATTTAAGTTTATTGTGATCTACAGCGTAGATCATGTGATTGATTCTCTCTTATAAATAGACAAGGGTGTTTTTGCTTTGTTTACCGAACAGGTGAAGTGTGAAACACAAAAAGCGCTGACCAGGGAAGATGGATAGGGTGTTTGAAACCTCTTAGAAAAGGATCAAGCGGGCAAAGGAGGAAGTAATCATTTGTATTGATAATAAGATCCAACAAAACCAGGCTAAATCATGGCCTTTAACCCTAAGGTTTTGATCCCCTTTTGTACATCAACATATTTGGGAAAACATGACGAGGTAATTTATTATATTCATTGATACATCATATAATTATAACACTTTATCCTAGGCTAGTGAAATCTTATTTTCTTTCTAACTATCATATACATCATTTAACTTTGTTGTAAATAAGGTGCACATGATTTGGAAGAATTTTATTTTTGTTTTTCAGAAGATGGATTGTGAGGAAAGTGTATGTATTGTTATCAACATCAGAAATTTAGCTCATACCTGAACATGGAGTAGGTTACGATAGTGAAGGCCAGGCCAAAGATGGAAACAGCACAGCCTATGTATGAGATGTATGTCAAAGCCTTCTCATGGGAGTCAGACAACATGCTGGTAGGGGTAGGGTCCTGAGATTGCAGAAGAAAATGCAGTTAAAACAGAATAAAAAATATAATTTCATCATGAAATATAATTTATACGAAATATTGGGAAAAGAAATTTTGATTTTACCAGCATGACAGCAAAGCTAGTGAGATGAGTTGTGTGGCAATGAGTTTCATTTCCTGCAGTGGAAACCGTCGTGACGCCATATGTTGACCACCCTAAGAAGAAATTGGTAATTAATTCTTGTAACTATATTTGATATTTAGTTTTCTTAATTACATATTAGATTAAAATTTTCATTTCTCAAAATAATGAAGTTTTATATCTTTGGTATAAAACAAACTTTTAATAAAGAAAGCTTACTGTTTTGTTCCCAATACACGCAGGTATGATTTGCATCAGGCTACAAAAAAGGGTAAAATGAAATATAACATTTTATTTTTTTTAATATTCAGGATACTTTATATATGAGTCACAGAGAGGCACCAAAGGACTTCATTTAAAACATAGTTACCTCAATGTTTGGAATAGTGTAGTGGATTGGATTGGAGAGATTCTTAATCTTCACTCCTTGTACGGTCGCTGACAAAACTCTCTGCTTAAGAACTATTTCTTCTGGAGTAGGGATTTCCGGAATGAAGAAAGCGGAGGTTCGGTAAGTAATGATCTGTAGCTTCATGCTGGCTTTAGCTGATGTTTTCATGACTTCTTTTGGTACATTCAGCACGACACCCGTCTGTACGAATTAATAATTATAGTTTATCGAAGTGTTTTGAAAAGGAAACATTGAATTGATATGTATATGAGTATACAACTTAATTTTGTTTTGTCTAGCAATATTAATATGGCTGCGTATTATTTTATTTTTACTTCAATTTTTAAGTACTTTTTTATATATGATATATATAATATTATTTTTCTCTCAATCTTTGTATTTATAACTTGATTTTCAATTAAGGGTGCCCCAGGAAATCGCTTCACAAAAAGCAGATATGATCAATGTACAAAACAATTTCCTTTCTCAAAAATGAAATAGTCTTTGGCATCAAACCAAAATAAATTCGAACCATATTTAACATCATACAGTTCATTATAATAAAAGAAATCCTTCTCATGATTAGGAAGTTCATGAAAAGGAATTCAATAAATATTTGCAACTTGAATACATGTAGGCTTACATCCTCTGTTTTGTTATCAGTCAGTGTGGGTTTGTAGATAAAATCCTGATCCCCTTTGTCAGTGATGTTGACAACCAGTAAGTTAATGTTGTCTGTGGCGATAGAGGAAGTGTTTTCTGTGTTCATTGCGTCTGCGTACTCCGTCAGCAATTCAACCAATCTAAGAACAGGAAATATAACCTTTGATATTTCAATTGGAATAACAATGATTTATAGAGTAAATCGTCAAGTCTGAAGTTTCATAAGAAAATTCTATCGTTATAAAAGAACATTTAATTGTATATGAAAAACATACTAGTGATAGTTTTGTATCATTCAAAGCTTGATCATACAATTATCGAAATTAGTTTACGACACCTGTACACATTGCACAATAAGTATATAATAATATTTTTTTCAGTTACAGTGATCTTTTCTTACATCTAAAGTGAATAAAAAAGTTCATTACTCAATTTGTAATTCAAGTATTCGTAAAATTTCATTTGACATAGATTGTATCAAAGAACTGAGCACTTTTTGCATTTTTCCATTGGGTATAATGTCATTGAAGTTGCATCAATTTGAATTGAATATAAACTTTACATGATATATTTTTCACTAAGTCAAAAATTCTTTTTTATTGGTATAAAGAGGTTTCCAAAAAGCATTTTTTAAACAAAACGGAAACACCAAAGGATTTTAAGGAAAGTTTTTAAGAATCGAGATAAACATTTCACCAATATACACGTTCTAAATGTTCTCAAACGGTTTATAAATGAATACTCATGCAATAAACAATTTATTACAAGAAAGCATTTGAAGAGCCAGTAATTTCAAGAACGACTACAAAAGTGTTGTTTCTGCTTATTCTTTCAATATATCTATTGCAGGTGGGCGGATGTGCCAGTGTGTTTTAATATACTTTTCCCCCCAATCTGTACTTTTATGAAACGCAGCTTTAAGAGTTTATAGAGTTGTTGGATAAATTACATGATAAATATTTAGTGCAGTCACTGACATTAAAAAAACTTTTTTTTAATGTGAGCAAAATACGTCACAATAACGGGTAAACTAATTTCGTTTTTTGTTCCAGAATTTGAATTTTTTTTTAGATTTACTACGAGGGGCGTTCAATAAATAATGTCACCAGGGCTCGGAAAGAAACAAAAATCGCTTTTCTATGATTTTGTCTTAATGATTTAACTAAGATATTCTCTTTTAATTAAAAGACCTGTCCGTAACATTTTTATTCAATTTCTAATTGTTTTTAGAACACAGTTTTGAATATGACCCTTCGTATACTGGAAAATGGCAGATCCTATGATTTGCTGTGCTTGTTTTTTTCTTTCTGAAAGGTGTTTTCCGAAGTTTGGGAAATGAAACAAGACAAAGATTGAAAGATCTGGCGAATACTGTTGATGTGACAAAATATTAACTTTCTGTTTACCCCAAAACTCCTTTACTCTTCATGGCCTGTGGATTTGGACGCTGTCAGGAAGACATTTAATGTAGTGAATTCCTCATTCTGTTTCAATAAACCTTTTAATTTGTTGGCATATTTTGCTTAAAAGAAATTGAACTACCTCCCTATATATGTATTTGAACAACAAGACCGCTAATATTTAAGAAAATAGCGTATAAAACTGTTTTAGTTTCTGGAAATTTTTGCTTTCTTAATATATTTTGTCAAGGACTTCTTATTGTTTTGAGGGTTCAACGCAAAATGGATTCAAGTTTCATGATCTGTTTGAATTTCAGAAAAACGTGTGTTTTTTGATTTTTTAAAAATAATTGTTTACTTTTCCCCTCTCGTTTTCACTCATATTTATAAATATAGGGTGACATTTTATTAAACATTTTTACAATCAAATGTTTCTTTAAAACAGTGTGAACTACCCCCGATATGATGTCTATCAAATTTGCTATGTAACTTAAAGTCAATAAAACATAAATCTATGATAATTTATTGAATTATCGCTAATATACATTGGTTGTTATATGTCCTTGTTGACAAGTGCAGTCACTTTTGACCATTATATAAGTTTTGTTAATTGAAATCCACCTGTTCATGTGTGTATGAAACAACATAAGTTGCTGTAAATTTCACATATTTCAGTTAATATATTGTTGGGAAATTAACAAGTTTTACAACAGCTTTAATGACGCGTTCAATTTTACAATAACGCAGGTAAACTTCCCACAATGAAATTATGCATGAAAAGTTCACATAAACTGTTATCAATTCATTAAAGATTCAATAATTAAAAAAAGTCAAGCTTTGTCATATGATTTTATGTTGTATGTCATGGAGCTGATGACATTATTTATTGAACGCCCCTCGTACTTACATTTCACTAACTGAATCAATATATCTTACTTATTATGCTAGAGTATTAACAAGAAGCCCTTTTTAGAAAATTCGAAACACATTTGCGTATGGCATTGCAATGTCCAAGATGTAAGATTTCAACTAATTCATAACATTAGTTATGTTGGGATTTTTTAGAGTCGAAAAGTTTGAATAAAAAAATTAACATGATGACCTTTGTGCACTTGCTTATACGATTTTTTCTTGCGTTTTCTAAATGACTGTAAATCAAGTCTATAAATAAGGGATAACAAAGTGTCCTTTTCGATCCGTCAACTTTGACAAATGACTAAAAAAGGACTCCGTTGTCTTGGTCAGTTCTAGTGCGCCTTTTATTTTGTTACCATTCTTAGACATGGTTTCAATGTAATTAATTTGTTGAAAGTGAAGAACTTAATATTTTTTCGAAAATAACTAATCAGAGATGATAACCAAGCAAAGTTAAATTTGTTTACCCTCTTCATATAATGTTTTTTTTATCCAAATCGATTGTAAAATGTTTAATTATAGTTTGAGAAAGTAAGTGAGAAAAATAAAAATGGCCCCACACCCTTTCAAAACCTTTGCACTGTAATCAATGTAAAAGTTAACTGAAAATTGATATTTTCAGAAACAATTTAAAGTGGGTAAGAATCAAAAGGCAGGAAAGTATTTTTTAGACAAAAAAGAGAAAATATATTTATCCATAGCTGACCGTTTGCTGGAGTGATTTTTGTGGTCGCTCTCTATCAGTACTGATTCTCTCGCCTCTAGGATATTACTGATCACGGTGGTCATCTCTTTTGCAATCTGAAAAGCAATTATTATATACGAAAATGATCAGATTGATCAGATTGAATTTTACAAAAATGACTGTGGATAATAATTTTCTTCAAATTATTAAGGGGTATAATGATCTTTTTACACGTACACCTTCATTTTCATTGGCGAACATGGCGAGATTTTCAAGGTCATTGGTGACAGAGGCCACCTTTTCTGATGTAAGCGATTTACCGTCCTTTGTAAAAGAAATGAGGTCATGGAGTTTGACATCAGCTTCCGCAGGAGACAGCTAAAAGATGAAAAATTAAAAATAAATCAGTTCAATTATTAGAAATATAATATGGGTGTTCAATTTATTTTTTGGATTCACACCCTTATTACAAAATTTGGTCTTATCTTTTAGGTTTATTAAATATTACTAAATATATTCATATTTTGTGGCATACAATCAAGCAATACAACTTTTGTAATGCATTATCAGAAATTTTTTTAATTAGAGCATGGAAAATAAGGAATAACCATGGGGAAGTACGCAATAAATTTCAAATTGGATTTCTTATTTTGGAATGACAGTGTAATGAATTCGTTGACATAATTACGATGCATCATTTGAAATTACCTCCCTTTCAACAGAAGTCATAACGGCTTTGACTCTTTGCTTAAGTTGTAATATATCAGTTTTCCCTGGCTTGATTTCAAACTTCAAAGTAACTATCTATAGTCACGTGCAGCAGTTTTGAATATATAACAATTTAGCACACATTGACCTTATAATATTGCTTAAAATTGTAGTAACAATTTTTAAATTCTCCTGGTATGGCATTCACGTACTAATGTTTGAATGTGGAAGTTACACAATTTAGAATTAAGTTATTGTTCCACTTGTATAATTTGATTTTATGATAATAACTTTCTTTATTCTTTATTCTAATCATATAATTCCCTCTTCCCCATTTCTAATAATATGAACGCTTACAAGATTTATTTCAAAATTGTTTTCATACTTCTAATCATATCACATCCTTTTCGTTTGCTTACTTCTGTTTTTAACAACAATTGTGTACTATAATGTTTGATATATGTATAAATTTTAATTTATTTGATTTATTTTAACTTTCTGTTTTTTAATAATAATCTGATACATACTTCTGTTTTTAACAACAATTGTATACTATAATGTTTGATATATTAATAAATTTTAATTTATTTTATTTATTTATTTTAATTTTCTGTTATCTAATAGTAATGTGATACATACTTCAAAAGAGTTAGTATACCTTAACACAATCATTCGTGTTTGGAGGAAGCCACCTGTATCTTCCTCGAGAATCAGCCTCACACTTCCGGGTGGCAAAACCATTAGGGGAGTTATTACGTGTACCATGTGGACACTGAAGATAGACTTCCACTCCAGCCAGTGTCCGCGGCCAGTGATGACGACCAGTGCGGTCCAATGCGGTGTCCTCTTTGGGGCAGAATTCTGTTTGAATAAAAGATGTCATTTATAGTTATTACATGTACTATTCTTTTACTATACACTATCTTTATTTTGTATTGAGTAATATGGTCTTATCTCACGTATTTAGTAGTCATTAATGAGGACAATTTACTAGCAGATAATGGATAAAAATTAAAAAAAAAAATTACACAATTTGTTTACCATACATAATTGCTATAAATAATCTTGCATTAATGAAGAAAACCGTAAATATTCCCAATGTGCGATTTATCATCCGGGGATTAAAAGTATAATGTTTCCTAGTTTTTTTGTTTGTTTTTTAAATTGATAATGAATATCTTTAACTTTTTGTACATCTGTACAATAAAATTATCTAATCAGGATCTGGAATTTTTCAGAAATCCCTCTTTATCATATCTTAACCGTTTAAGAAAAATTCAATTGGTTAATATCTTATATGATAAGTAATATTGTCTTATCCGGCTTTATTAGAATGGAAACAGCGAAATCGGATAAGACAAGTTTGACTGTATATATACCATTAACACATGTCCGACGTTTTGTTCCATCCAGACAGAAACAGACGTGGTCAGAACCATGCTCCTGACAAACACCTTGAGATCCACAGGGATCGCCCTCGCACGCCCGGGCTACTTGGTCACAGTGAATACCTGTAAGTGAAAGGTGGACATCTATGTAGAAAATGAAACATATGGTGATAACGATCAGTACGAACAGTATTCAAGATCAAAAGTCCAGACAACAATACAAAATAGGAGCAGAGCAAACAAGGACCTCCAAAACATTAGAGATGGGATCGGGTGCCAAATTCACTGAGTTATTCTATCATTAAATTGGCAAGTATCCAAGGCTTATAGGACCATAAATGTTTAATGTTTAATGTGTTGATATATCCAAATTTCTGTAGGACATCGAATTCAAAAAGGAAATTGTTTATTAAATTTTAGAAATGATGTATATATCTTTAAGTTTAGAATATATTTTATTCATTAAGAAATGGATTGAACAGCAGGCATAAATGCCTAAAAGGTCAAGGTACAATTACAAGTACATGTAAACATTGAAAAAAATGTATGAAGTTTAGATTATTAATTGGTACATATTTAGAATGAAAAATGTATATATCTTTTAAAGTTACATTTATTGACATTTCAATAAACCAACTCCAAATATTTTGAAATTTACTGAAAGTTCAAAATTTTGGAAAAATCATGAGTTTTTTCCTCAGTAAAAACAGGCCAGTAGTACTTTGAGCATTTCATACTCCATGTAGGAAATGTTTATAAGACAGTTCCAAGCGCGAAATTAGACGACCTTCATGACTTAAAGGTCAGTGCTTTATGTTTGTATGGCTGGCTGAAATGTGGTATCTGAATTACCTGTTTATATAAATTTCAATGAACATGTGAACATGTACTCTTTCTGATGTCAAGAGAAATAAAATCAAGTTATGGTTAAGTAAAATGTGCCCTAATTTCATGAAAATGAGGTTACAGTATATTCAATTGTTTAAAGAAAAAAAGTATGAGCAATTTTAAAAAGTAAATATTTCCTGCTAAACATTTGCTTTAATGTACAGATAACTACTATATTGAAATTTTGGGAAACCTCTATAACAATTTATTTTATTACGCATATTGAAAGGTAGCCCCGAGCCTGTTGAAAAGCAAGGAACGTTTAACAATACCGGTATTTATCAATTTTGTCAGATTTATACAGATATAGACGCACAATTTGTAGAATATCATTGCCTAATCTGAATTCTCATTTACAATCCTCAGATTTTATCTTTTCCTAAAAAGACGACTGTCTTTAAGGAAATACAGAGTGACTCTGCATGAAGTGCAGATGGTAAATGTTAACAGTTTATTTCGCCCAAAGTCATACAATTAAACAAATAAAGCATGCAAAAAAGTTGTATATTTAACGATGTTCGATGTATTTTTTTTCTTTTTGACTTTCACCGTAACTTCATCTTCGACTAAAAAGAGTAATCAGTGCAAGTGGCTTGAAGATAAACATTTGGATAAATTGTTTAGATTTAAATTGTTTAAATTTTAAAATGAACATCAGAATGACAATTTTCAAGAGCTTTTTGGAAGCTTCAGGCAAGTATATCTCCCTACAACAGTTCACCCTCCAGCGAATGTGTGTTATCTGTCTCTCGGTGCATTCTTCATACATTGTGCACTTTTCAATGTTAATGAATTTTACTTCCGGCAAAAGATTTAGGAACAAGTCATAAAATTAGTTTTCATACGACATTAGATTATTTACGTCCAAAAACGGATTTCTGTTTTTTTTTCTTCTAAACCTTTCTTTTAGATTTGTGAAATAAACCTAAGAAGTAAATCTTTTAAAGGAAATTCTTTAATATCTATAAAAGTGATATTTGTTTCTTAATTAATATCTTTTGTTATTACATGTATTAACAGTATGTCAACGTTTGCATTTTTCTGTATTTTCTTCTTTATTTTAGAGTGCAAAGCTCTTGAATATACAAGATATTAAAGCTGAGTTCAGAATATGAATGAAAAGTCAATTAAAAATGAGAACATGCTATGTTTATTCTTTATCTTTCAGATAAGAATTAACCAATTAACAATGCATGATGCCTCACGAACGTACTTTAGCATCAGAAAGTATGTCGGTGAGAGGGAATGGAATTTGTTAAAGCAAGGTACTGGTATCTCGAAAATAGGCTTTAAGCTTAGTTAAGCTTTGGAAATTTATATTGTTTACTCTAAAATAAAGAAACTTGATCATCTAAATAACTTATTACATTAAGAACTGTTGTATTATTTAAAAATGTTAAAATCTTGCTGTTTTTTGACAAGTTATTAATTTTTATTTTTGACAAAAAAAACAGCTTCACTAAGGTAAAATAAGTTATTTATGAAGTTTCTTTAATTTGACTGTATGAAAGAAAGAAAAAAAGATCAAGTGGATCTTTTTTCAAAAACATACATCTTATCAAAAAGACAAGGAATATTGATATACTATACCTATGTTAATTATCATTTAATTTGCCTCAACTCGGAAATAAAAAGAAAATAGGTACTCGAGATCTAGCGACAAGGTAAGGACACTTAAATCTAACTATCTATTATTTTTTTTTAAATTAATGTCTTGAAAAGATATAACGACGGAGTTTATACAGGTTTCTATCTATATTTCAACTTCATTTTTTGCTAAAAATAATTGTCTTTCTTTAGATCAAATGAAGAAAAGATTAAAAGAGGTTTTTTTTAAACCCTTTTTTATGTTTTTCAGTAGGTAAACAAAAAATGGATTGAGCTGTTTAAACCTATGCATTAAGTAAGGACTATGAGCCGGAAGGGTAAAGATGATATTTAACAAAAGCAGAGAGCTTTGTTTGATTTTGCTTTACGGTAACTTCTATCTTGGAGAAAGTCATTTGTTTAAATGTAGGGAATGATTAATTTAAATTAATCTGAAACTAGAATTTTAGTCTCCACCCGAGTCAATCCTCCATATTATATCATCTTGCATGCCTTTGAGGTCAAACTTGTGCTATCCAGAAATTTCTCCAGTTCTTGACGTACTTTAACAAAGATCGGATTAGAGGAAATCGTAAACAAAATGCAGAAATAGAGGGAAAATATGAGCACTGATTAGCAAATACCAAATTTTACAAGACAAAATACAAAATTTATGAGGAAACTGCTTTTTACTTTTTCTTCTGACAACATTTTGTGTACCTCCTCATCGATTAAAATCGACATATCAAATTAGATTAACCTGCCGCCTAGACCTAATCAGAGAAAATATCTTTATATCCTAAGAGTGTTATAACACTTGGTCAAATCTCTCGATCAGCTTTCATCTTCCTCCTAACAGATCCTGGCTGTAAGTGATTTGGATGTTGATTAATAAGTATTTCTAAGAAAAAGATATTTCTTCTCCAATCATTAATTTACTGATGAACTTCTTACAAGTCTACCACAATTTATCTGTCTATGTTGATAAGATTAAGATAGGAAATCATATTTAATCTAATATACTTTCTTTCACCCCTTTCCGATGCCCTGTCATCTTATCTTCAATATTTATCTTCTGAACTTGTAAACTTCCGAGATATAAGCCAATTAAACGGAAAATTGCTTCCTATTAAAGTAGCAATGCCTGAAGACAAAATACATCTTTCCAGTTACGGACTGAGGTGTAATTTATTGTACAATTTGGCTATCATGTGGTGACGATATTTATGCATGATACTAAAGACACCATAATTCTTTCATTCATGTAATGAAATCTGCGTTTTATATTTTGAACACAGTGTTCCTTCTTCATGTTATTTTGCTTTGAGCATTTTTAGCTGGTTTATATATAATAGTAAATGTTAATGCTCTCTATTCAATGTACAATATGAAGCTCAATGTTTAGTGTACATATGTTAACTGTGTATCTATGTTTTATACAATGGAATTTGTAGTTCTTGCTTATATGATAAACTTTTTTAGCTCTGTGTTTTATATAATTAACATTGTGGCACTCTGTTTTTAATATACTGAAAGTCGAAGCTCTCTATTTTATATATTGAACGTTGCAGTTCTATGTTTAATATATAATTGAACGTTAAAGTTCTGTTTCATATATTGAACGTTGTCACTCTATTTTTTATATTTATATTGAACTGTTTTACGTAGCTATTCTCTTTATATACTGAACGGTGTAAATGTAGCTTTTTGTTTTTTATTTTCTTGTTGCTTTCTTTATCATACAATGAACTATGTACCTCTCCATTTTATATAATGGACATTTTAGCTCTCTGTTTAAAATAATGAACATTGTAATTTTATGTTTTAAGTTATATACCATCTTTTATATAATGAACATTGTAGCTTTCCATGTCATATACTAAATATCCGAGACCTCAGTTTGTAAAGTGATATCTCTCATAATGAACTTAAAATTCTAACACTTTTTTTCTATGAAGTGAACATATTTTGAAATGCTTCTTTCTTTAAATTCTATAGGTTTCTGTTCTGTGATCTGTGATACGTTGCTTTGAACTTACTTTCAGCAGTTCAATATTTTGCGTCTTCCTTTGTATAAGAGTATGTGTCCTTGGAATTCCTTCTTAAAATTACTCCTATGTTCATTACAATTTGTGCACACATTTCATTAAAGAAGATTAAGATAAATTACTGTCTACATCATGGAAGAAAGCATCAATTGTTTGCTTAAAAATATAAACAGTATGCAACTATTTACTAATGTCATTAATAATTTGATTTGACACCCTTCCCTCTTATCGTTGAAAGGGCGTAATTCATTTATGTTAAAGTGTCTAGAGTCTCATGAATTCTTTTATCTATTTGCTCAACAGTAACATGTAAAAAATGTTAATAAACCGAATTCCATATCGCCACCACTTTAAAACTTTTCTAGTGACACGCCAAGTGAAGTAGACCATGTTTCATAATTAACAATAAAAATATATGTCAAATTAATAGTATTCGCCCAAGTATCAACAACAAATTTATCACCATATGGTCATAGAGATTGTACATTAGTCATACAAACAATAAGAAACTTTTCAAAACCCTGAAATTTGACCGCAGCTCTTTTACAGAAAGACACGCTTCCTAACGAGGTTTCAGCTCTGTACGACTAATAGATAAATCGTACAACAATACAGGAAATGATTACGACCCGAGAGGAACCTTGTTTTGGACAGCTAATTCCTAGTTGACTTGACATTTATTGTCCTTCCAATGTGTTGTGGTCAACATAAAATACAAGTCCCAGTGAAATACCTGATCCCAAAGAAAGAGAGGCTATATGCCAGTGTCGTTATTGCATTGCATTGATGTCGCGGTTTAAAGAGGTTTAAATAAGTCACTGAGATACTTTTCTTGCTTAATTACTTATAAGGTATTCTTACATAAATAATTACGTCATTATCTTTAGTTCTCATACTCATTTATAAGGTCAGTCGTAAATATAATATTACTGTGACAAATAACTGATTCCAGTTGAAGAAACATTATTTTCAATAGTGTATGAAATGCGTTTTTCTCGTTATGCACAGAAGGTATACGACATATTTACAAAAAAGTACTCATTATGGTCATCATCTTAAGATATCTATTTAAAGGAAAAGAAATGATAAACCTATCCAAAAGTTATAAAGACAGAGTAAAATATATACGAAATACATGTATATGTTAGTCGTTCATAGATTAAAATGCAAAAGATAAAATGAGAACTTAATCAGTTACGACAAGGAACATGAATCTTATTTTAGTTGGGGGATACTTGGTATACATGTAGTTTACATAGATCATACCTGTAAATCCGTCAGGACACCTACAATTGTACCAGTTGGTGACGTTAGCTGAGCTACCGTTAATCTTCACCTGACGAACGTCAACATCTAGTAAATCACAGTTGGCGCCATTTCTACACAGCTTTCCAGCGGTACAAAATCGGTATTTGGTACATCGTTCTCCGTAAAAGTCGGGTTTGCAGTCGCAGTGAAAAGAATCATTTTGTGGATGACATGACCCGTGGTTTTGACAGGGATTGTCAAGGCACACGTCTTTGTATTGGCACTGATTTCCAGTCCAGCCGCTGTGGCAATGACAGACGTAGCCATTGTTGGTGAGATTTTGACAAATTCCGGAATTCTGACATGGACTGGAGTCACAGGGATTAAATCTGTCACACAGAGTACCAAAGAAGCCATCTTTACATGTGCATTCGATGGCACCATTGGTGGAGATGTTCTTACACGTGGCGTTATTTTGACACAAGTTAAGCTTGCATCCATCTGTGTGCTCACAAATGGAACCATACTTCTCAGTGACACAATCACATGAGAACGTAGAATTCTCCTTCTGACAGGTTCCGTCATACAAACATGGATTAGACAAACACGGATCTGCTTCATCACAGAGTTTTCCGCTGAAGCCCGTTTCACACAAACACTCAAAGCTTCCATTTGAAAGCGATTTACAAGTTCCGCCATTATCGCAGGGAGTATTCTGACACTCATCAAAATGTTGACAGACCTCCCCGTAATAACCAATCGAACACGAGCAATACGCTGTTGTTTCATTTCTCAAACAGGTTGAATTGTTCTCACAAAGATTTTGTTGACAGGCATCTTTCTCTGAGCAGTTTACACCTGTAAAACCTTCATTACACGAACATTTATAAGTACCATCAGAAAAAATACTACAAACCCCATTTTCACAAGGGTCTTTGGATTTGCAGATGTTAAGAATATTGCACGCTGTGCCCATGTACTCATCCGGGCAACTACAAGAAAACTTTCCGGCAGCGGAAGAGCACGTTCCGCCATTTTCACAAGGATTGGGCGAGCAAAGAACTTCCGTTTCACACAAACTTCCGGTAAAGTGTTTTGAACATTGACATTGAAAACTTCCATTTGGTTGTTTAAAGCAAGTTCCATTGTTCAAACACGGGTTAGAAACACACTTATCATGAAACTGACACAGATTTCCATAATAATCAGAGGGACAATCACATCGAAAATTGTTACTGGATACAAATTCACATTTAGCGTTATTTAAACACGGGTTCGTGTTGCATTTGTCTACTTCCGTGCAGTTACGCCCAGCCCAACCATCTGCACAGTCACATTTATATGAAAGATCGGATTCGGTCAAACAAACTCCATTGTTTTGACAAGGCTGAAATACACTGCAGTTGCTAAACTTTGGACAATCTCCATATAGCCCTGAAAACAGAAATAGTGATTTAAAATAGCATGTAGATGTATGACAGTTTCCTTGATGGGTTGGGCATTCATTTGACAGTGCTTATACTGACGTCGCCATGATCATTGAATTCGACATATGTAGTATACATGTATTTGTTGGATACAGGGTTTCCTAAGATTAAGATAATAAACATATGTCCTTTTGTTATTTTTCAGAAACACTCCAAAGGCAAAACTATATGTTCTTTTGCTTTCAGTAGAGTACACTATATTAGCAACATTTTCCTAAAATGTTTTTAAAATGAGAAAATTCCATTTACATTTACAATAATTTTTTTGTGTGTCCTTTGTTATCTGTGAACAAGAATCTATTCAAAGTCAGTACAAAAGATTGGATTATTATGCTCCAATTTGTTATGTTTGTCATATTTATATAAAAGAAAAACTTTGCGTACATGAACATCTAGCATTAGTGAACCTACATTTAGCAATGTACTAATGGTGTTAAAAATGGGCACGTGGGTAAAACATTGAAAAGACATAAATACTATGTTGGGATTTATTACTGTAACAGTACAATAAACAAATGACAGAGACAATGCTACATGATATATACATGTAAGTAATGAAATATATCACCAACTTCCAACACAAAGTGTACCTAATACACTTACCTGAATTCTCATCTGCAGTATAAATATATAGAAAGATGCGTATAAAACAACTACGGTTAACTCATTACTATACTTATTAATCGTTTACAATGTGAACTACCTTAATTAATGGTTAATCTGTGATTTAAAAAAATATATATATATTTTGCGCGTAAATTACGCATGTAAAATATACTTTTAGGGAGGTTTTATTAAACAAATTAGGGCCTCGTGACGCAAGACCGGAAGTAAACATCGACAATTCAGATTCAAATCGAACACTTCTTGTTTACCAATGAAGAATTTAATTATTGCCTAAGAAAAAACTTTATTTTGTTTTTCATTGATTCATTAATTTCTCCTGACAGCAAGTTTTATCTTGCAATGAGAGTTATCAAACTCATAAGGTACAGATATATAGACATTTAATTTATCTGTTAACATTGCTAATATGCCCTTTTCTTAGTAATGTCTTTTCGGTTATTCGTTGTCTCTGTTAATTACATGAACAGCTTTGCATATTCATTGACATGTGAAGATAATTATACATGATGAATGAGAAATATAAAGCGAACACCTGGTCAACTCTATAATGACCAATGTCAATGAAAGTTCTAAGACACGCGTATATTTTGGTGTAACTACGTTGACCGAAATTAGAGGGTGTGACTTCTTTTTGTTGCGTATTTTAATGTGTCAAGGAAACAGCAAGAATTGCAAAAATGTTCAAGTTTACCACTTGTTGCAACTGCTGAGAGCTTTTTTTCAAAGAAGACGAAATACTGTCAGTATATTAATATACTTTAAGTTCATCAAACTGTTAAATTTTGCCCTGGATAATGTGTAAATCGAGAAATAATTGAATTATCTTCCACGTGTTGAACAAGGAAGGAAATTGAATTGCGTCAATTTGTTGGCCGATTGATGAAAACGAGGTGATCTGTTTTCTGTCGCGAGATCGAATCGAAATCGGTTCCAGGTTGTAGGTAACGGGTTGAAACATCGTCCATCAATAAGTTAATGTAATCTATTTGAAAGGCGTGATTTTTGTACAGCAAGTGTTTCATTTTTTGTCCAATGTGGAAAATTTAACACTAACCATGTCATGTTCTAACTAACTTATTTTTCAAACACACGGACATCATCTAAAATTTTCTTCTTAAAATAAAAACATCGGAACTGAAAGTTTCAACTTGAACAAATTTAATTGAGCACTCTACAAGTATGATTTTTAACAAATACATTAATATTAAAGAATTTCTAGAATTTTAGTGACCTGTCACAACATAGAAAAAAACTACACTTAATACGAGGTTTCCTGGTTCGAGATCTGTAAAAACTTGTCGTCCCCTTTACATAAGATATAGGCTGACGACAAATGATCGGTGGCCACCTTAGCGTTTTAATGTCTCTTGAATAATGGTTATTGCCGTTTTATGAAATAACTTGTAATAAAAACACCGCTTTTCCATGTTTTTCTGCTGTTCTGAAGAATGGGTTGAAGTGCAGCGGACCAAAATGGCTGCACTTTTAACAGTGAGAAAAACACTGTATATATACTTGTATTTCTGACTGAAATACTCTCTTGAATGATATATTGCACTTGAATGAATTTTTCATTTTTATAAGCACTTGTATACAATGGACGAAGTACAATTAAAGTACAATTACAGATTTCACTTATTTACCGCAGTCAGATGGCAAAGTTTTAAACACTATCTTTAACTGAAGTTGCCACTAATGAAATAAGAATATACCATATTTTCAAAATTATATTCAAAATTTATTAAAGATAACGCTTGGCTATTTCAGAAGCATAAATTAGGGCATTTTATCTCCTGATATCATGAACATACGTTGAGATACCGCAAAGGTAATATCCTTATTTTTTTAGAGGATTAATCATTGAGAAAACATAAAATAAACAGTTATTCCTTTGAATACCTTGGTGACTATGAAAAGCCCTATAGGATACCTAGAGTTGGCGGAGTTACGTGCATAACGAGAGCAAGTTAGGTGGGTGGGCTTAGGAATCGATTTAAAGGTGTAAGAACCTGTAGAGGTGCAAATTCTGGATAAGAAATCCGGAGCAAGATTGTGAATCATAAGTTATGATCTAATTTTATTTCTGAAAGCTTAAAATTAGGTTAAATTCTGAAGTCGATGCATTTTCATAGGAACAAATGCTATGTGATGTTATTCTTGTTTTCAAAGTTTTTTAAGAATTTCGCTTTTGCTATATGAAATATTGATAATCAGTATATTGCTTGAATTCCAAGTTATGAAAAATTCTAGTTTTTAATTTTTTATTTCAATTTTATTTTTAACAGTTTAAACACTGAAGTCCAGCACGATCTATCTGTTTGGATAAATATGAAAATTTCACTTCCGGTAGACGATGGAGACCGATATATGTAGTCTCTGTAATTCCGGAATGTTTACACAATTTTTCATGTCAGTCTGCCAGAAAGTATCCATGACCGGTTACCAAAAACAAGAAAAGTATTAACCTTAAAAAGCCTCCTGCTTCTCTGTTTGAATGATCAAAGAGAAACCAAAGCGACTCGATCAAATTGTTGTCCATAAGTACAGTTTACTTTCTAGATCATACTAATCCAGAATGCAATGGTCAAATTGGGTACTTCTTTAAAGCTTTGATCTATTAGAAGCCTTCCATCTTGTGAATAAAAAACATAAGTAAAACTAATATTTTTGAATAAGATAAATACATTTTAAATATTCAACTTTAAGGTGCAGATGCAGTTCTTACTTGAACTGAATAACTTAAAACTAGAAGTGTTGGCTGATGTTTTACCAAACACCCACAAACCTGAAGTTTCAAGAGTAAATGTTCTGAAATAGTATGGCTGCTGAATAGATTAAAACATATTTCATGCGTCAAAATCAAATTTAAGTCTTATCAGAAGCTCAAGTGAAATATTAACTGTAACTGTGAAGTTTCGTCTTACCGTTCTTGGTAATGTTGACGAATCGTTCCACGCTTTCTGGACTCCAGTGCGTTTTGTTGAAGACCTTGATGGTAAACTTCAGACGGTTCCCGGCCTCCAGTTTCCCGGCCCTGACCTGGGTACACACCTCATCTCTCTTACCCACAATCCCCACGGGATGGCTGGTCACGTTCTGACCGTTAATGGCGAACTGAAGCTGGTAATGGTCAACCACTGACCCGTTGGTGTTGTCCTTCCAGCATATCCTAGCTGTGGTACCTTCCACGGACACGCAAAATATTTCCGGGGCTATAGTGAAATAAAATGATAAAGTCACTGAGATCACATCCATATCGGAGAGGAAACTTGGACAAAAAAGAATTGAAGACACGATTAAGGATTTCTTCACACGCGCACTCCCTTTTTCGGTATTTAAATCAAGGTCTCGATTTCATCCTCGAAGCTACTGAAATACTTTTGTTGTTACTTTTTTTTTGTATGAAACGTGTACAATCCTTCCAAAATATTGGAACCTCTTTTATCATTAAACATTTCCGTCATTTCTCAACATATCTGTCCTTACGAGGAACGTACGTCCCTTCATTTTGACGAGCGCAAAATTGAACCACATAAATTATGACATTTCTATGGACCACAAAATATTCATCAAGAAAAAAAAAATACGAAAAGATGGAGTAAAAAAATAAAAGAGGACACCAAGTGACGAAAAAGATCACAGAATCACTGAGAAAGGCATAAATTCATCACACGCACATCTAAACAGATAAAATTGTGCACTGCCCCGAAGTGACCATTTATCTTGATGACGACTCGAGAGTGCGGAGTTTTACCTGTATATTTCTACGCGTGTTCGGCTACTTAGCACGAGCGGTGGCAAAAACAAAAGGTAGCGCACCTGTTTCGATGGGGGGCCTTCACTATTCGGAACTCCCTTTTACTTTATTGATCAATAATCAATAACATACTGATTTATCAACCTAACGGAGCGTAGAGGTCTATTCAGCTGGTCTTTCCGATCTTTCTGATTCCCGGAGATCAATTATCAATTGCGTAGTGATTTATCAACTGAGATTCCGAAGAAGTTTGCTTAGGTAGAGTAAGAGAAGTTTTGAAATGCCAACAACAAATGGATTGACGAACAATCTAATCCACTAGGATTTAACTTTATGTTCCGACCTTTCTTGTCGCTTTCAAATGCCAAGTTCGAGCTAAATCGTTTTATAAAGACGCGTTGATTGGTTTCCATTATATTTACCAAAGATAATGTCAGATTGTAGATTCCGAATCTTTTGTTATGGACAGGTACTGGACAGACAAACGCAGTGTTGACGTAGTTCTTGGAGATGGATAAGACTCAACATCAACAAAATGTTTTTTATCAGTATTCAATAACAAATTCTTGTTGAAATGTTCCAAAGAAACATACATGCTCCTGATGTTTTTTCTTTGTAAGTTTATTCTTTATTCTAAGTCAAATTTATCAACTTACATGTATAGTATAGTATATATGTGGTATAAATCTGTGAACATTAAGAATATGATTTTTAGCTAATTAAATTAAAATCACTTGTTAATTTTGGGATACCAGTGCTTTCTCGTCTTCCTGAAACTAATTTGCTTAGACAATTTAGAAACTTCAATATTCTTTGTGAACGAAATTTGAAAAAAAAAATTTCAGATTACAATCTTTCAGATTAAAAATTGGTCATGTCACTTGAACACTGAAATTTCTAGTGATAAAAAGATGGAATTTCAGAGCTTAATTGACCATACACTATGTCTTTGTATACAAAGAGACTTGGTCATTGGAAATCTCCTGTTAGGTTGTTCAACAAACCGGAATAATACGTCTCTGGAATGTTCAAAAAGACATGCATTTTTACAATCGAGTTTACGAGTCGGAAGTACACCACAATAATTGATTTCATAATAAACATGCACCGATTTTGACAATTGTCTCTTTCTCTGTTCCTCTGTCGAACCCTCCAGCGATAGAAATAATTGGTTAACTCGTACGAAGTTGACATGTTTTATTGTCACGTGAGTTGTTTTTTCCAAATAAGGAATTTCCTTGGTCGAGTAAAGGGGAACAATTTAGTCATCAATATCAAAACAAGTGAGTAATAATGGAGGATGCTACATTGACATTTTTCACATTAAAGATCAAAACTGTAATTTACATTTTTGTTTACTCAATTTTCACATGTTTGATTGGCATGAAAAGACTTTTCAAAAGTTCTTGACATTAGGAGAAATTTCAATCTTGTGCCATTTGATGTTTTACATATACAAAGTAAAGAAAAGTAAAAGATCGACATCAGTTTTTGTTGTTGTCGTCTTAGTTGCACACACAGAAATTTAATTTTGCTGACTTTTCAGAAAAAAGTGCATTACTTTGTAGAAAAATGAATACTTACGTGCTAAGTCAGTGATTTCCACGTACACCTGGGAACTCGAGGACTTTATCGGCGATCCAGAGTCGATGGCCGTAACATTGAAAGCAACGGAAGTCATATTATCAGGAAAATTAGATATGATTCCTATCTGTCCATTTTCCGGATCGATTTTGAAATACTTGGATGCTTCCGGTTCAAATATGAAGTACCGGAAGATGGCGTTGTAGCCCCGGAGGTCCCTGTCTGTTGCAGAAACAGCTCCAAGTGTGTTGAGGTCATGGTCCAGGGAATCTCTAAGTGCCACGAACTTGTAAAGTCTCTTGGAGAAGTATGGCGCGTAGAGATTTTCTGACGAAACGATTATTTTCACCTCAGTATCTCTCACTACCCCTCCGTAGGATCCTAAAACTCGGAATTCAAACGTGAAGTTTTCCGGTTTGTCCATGATCTTTTGGGTTGACAAGTACCATTTGAGGGTCCCAGTTGGTGTAATTTTGAAATATCTGGTAAATTCATTGTCTTCCATGGCGAGTTTCTCCAATGGTTTGCCCGTAGCATTGTCATATGCTGTTATTGTAAGAACAAGAGTGTTTGGAGGGGAATTCTCGTGGATCCGGGCAGGATAGGCATCGAGCACCAATTCGGGTCGGGCTGAAATGTACAAGAAACAGTTCAGGTTCTTTTTTGACTACAGTACACAATAAACCATGTTTGATAATTTTATCATCTTGGGAAGGGAATCTATCAATTGCTTATCGTACAATATAAAGTGTTATTTACTATTTGTTCTTATTTAAAGATACATGTATATAGTCTTATTATTGTTTACAATGTGAACTGAAAATGTTGTCGGTCAAATACATTTTTTTAATTTATTAAACATAGTTCATATAACTGTATAGATTTATCATCTTTATGAAAGCCTAATATTTTCAAATGATATAAAACAATAACCTTGGTTAATTCCATGCTTTATTTTTCTCAAACTTCATTCAAGGAACCAGAAGTACATGGCTCTTATATCTTTTGTTAATTGTTTCTCTGAGAATGCAATCAATGAGTTCAGAGAGGGACCCTTGATTACTGTTATTAGGTATTATTGAAAGAAATGTTACTGACTCCCGGGAATCATGTTTTTATTTCCATGCTCATCTATGCAACAGAAATTACTGCAACACGTGACTCTTTGAACATGGATGCCACTGCACGAAGTTACACATTCTCAAGTGTTTTAAAAGCCATCAAACGATCGGTAAGCGATGTATTTCATCTAAGACAATTGGTTGCTATTTTTCTTACATATCGAGATGAGGATTTATTGATTGACAGCAACAAAAAAATACAAAAAAGTTAAACAAATAATAAAGCAAACAAAATAAAATAACACAAAGATATGAATTAATGACGCAGGTTTTTACTTTATTTTCCTGATGCGTGTAACCTGTTAGTCTAGGCAGCTGATATGTTTGATATTACAAATAAACAAACGCCAAGGATAGTGCATTTCTGTTTGAGATCTTGCTGATAAAGTCCAACAAATTATTTGTCTAAATATTTTGTACCTAGAGGAAGAAAATGTTTACTAATAAAATAACTCTCAATAACAGCAGGTGGTGTGGGTGGTTAAGAACTGCTAAGTCAAACTTTGACGATTTACCCCACCTATAACGCGGGGGAGGGGAAGGGAGGGGTGTTAAGATGAAAAGGGATCCTTGCTCATATTGAAAATATTTATATCACAATAAGTAACAATTTCCAGAAAGGATTAAAAATGTTCAATTAGATACTAATGAGTAATAAAAATATTATTTGTTTTTTGTTTCTAGAATTTCTACCAGCCTGTATTTTATGTTAATGTATTTATGTTTTCAAATTTAGAGAATTTAAAACTATCTATAGTATTTTAATTCTCTGAATTTAGAATATGTATATGCAGTGTGTCGCATTTACTTTATACATCTATATACAGCACCTTTTGTTAAATATCTTTATAATTTATTTTTTCTCAAAAAAAAAAAAAATTCCTTTGATACTTGCATGTTTTATAAGGAAAATTAGGAAATTAGTATTTTGAATTTCCAATCAAATGTTATGATTTTTTTTATTTAAGCTATTTTTGTTCATTAATTTTGCATTTCAGATTAATTGCAGATCCCCTTCAATTAAGATTTTTTTCTTCTTCTAAAAATTTATGACTTTTTCCTAAGAAATAATATTCATTCTCTGTATTAATTGAGGTACGTTTTCTTTGATATTATCAAATGCACAATTAATGTCGCTTTGAAGGAAATCGTAGAGATTTTCATTAAAATAATTTTCATACTGGAGATTTTCCACTAAGTCTAACTTTCAGTTTCATTCTTTTACAGATAGATACTTACGCGGAACAAAAGTTTCCGGAACCGGTCTGGTCCAACGACTATTAACCATAATGCCGTATAGAGACAAAGAATTCTTTCCAGATTGTAAACTTATTTCTGAGGTCCGATTTCCCAAATTATGATCGTGATCATGAATAATTCCACTTTTTGATATTCTAACCCCAGTTAAAAGTAATATCAAGAAATTTTTAAAAATCTTCACAAACATTTCGGAAATATTATTTTTCACTTCCAAGAATTTTAACAACTTGGATGTTACAACTTTCTATTAATCAATAACTTCATTCAAATATAATTCCTTGCAATTTCAAAAATTCATTCACATTTGATCACAAGATAATCAAGAATAAAACAAAAGAAAACTTCGGACGCTTAAGAATTATTTATACATGTACTTATTCCAGTGCGATGCGCAGTGATAAAAGTTTAAAATATCACTTGCAGTTTCCAATTATTGTAAGAGATGGTATCTGCCGCTGTATCTAAAACTATCTCTATCGCGCTTTTGGCCGGGCTATTAATGTGAAGAGGTATATAGAAACACGCGCCTATAATGTCTTCAAACGAGCGGGATCGTTTTCCAGGGCGGCTAAAAATCGACTGTGTTTGAACCAAGTTTCGGCACTGGTGCTGATTAGTCATTAATTAAAAGTAATTTTGCATACCGATCGAGTTTATATTTCCTCTTTCTGTTCATTATGAGGTGTAATCAGGAACTAACATTAAGTGTGTGTTTTGTTGAATTCTAAGTGCGCTGGAGCTCACGTTTCGCGCGTGTTCGGTTGCAAGTGTCAAGTGACAGGAAAGCGCCAAAAACTCTGGCGAAGATTACAGAGTTATCTTTCTTTACGCAAATGATCCATTGTCACAAGTCACAACTGTGTTTAGTTTACTTATTTTGAACAAGTATTTACTAGGAAAAGTAAAAGCTAGATCATCGATTGACGAAGATAAAATCTACCAATAAATAAATAAATAAAAAACATAAAATAAATAAACAACAACAATACAACAAAATTTTAACACGTTTAACATCTTTGAAAGTTTGTCTAGAGTACTACTGTGGACCTTGACTGAAAAAGCAAAAAAGCACCATTCTATATATTGTGAATATATCATAAAAAGAGAGAGGGGGAGGGGGAGAAGAAGCGTGAGAGAGAGAGAGAGAGAGAGATTTTAAACTTTTAACCTTCATGTACAAGTACACGTCTTATTTAGTTGTCAATTAATTTACAAACAAACATATGTTAAATCGAGTCGTTTATCTCCCATCGTATCATTGTGTATTATAAACAAGACAAACACCTAGAACTCTGTTTTTGACAGACTCCACTACAATTTTATCACTCTTGGTATGCGCTAATGCAGTGGGTAACAATTCTCTGACAAAAAAAAAATCGACGAATCTCGTTTTCACAAACATTTCATGAGCTTCAGCAGGCTAAACATTGGCAACGCCTGACTTTAGAAGATAAACACACTCCAACGGCCGAAAACTTAAATGGACGGCCACGAAATAACAGAAACTATGTCTAGATGGATAAACTCAAAATCCAGGAACATGCGATAAACATAAAACGGAGCGCAGGTTATAGATTCGGTCTCTGCATGCGTCTGTTTTACAAGCCATGTTTATAATTAAAATGTAGTACACCTAATGCATTTTTAATATGTACAACATGAGAATAATCTCTTAAAATAAGACACACCGTAATTTACATGAAGACAAGGTGGCATTTCATGTACATTTAGATATTTAAAGGTCATTCAAGGTGAAAGGTTAAAAGAACTTTAAGGTCAGAAATCTGTCAAATGATTTGGATTTTTTCTAAAAGGGGTAATTTTTTAAGAAATCAATATGTTTCAACCAAACAAAAGGGGTGAGACAGCATATAATTATTTTAAATCTGAAAACCTTTAGGGGATCTGCCCCTCTGCCCCCCCCCCCCCCCCCTATCTCTCGAATTGTTCTGCAAATTTTTTTTACGGGTCGTCAATATAGAATATATTTACATTTGAAAGTAACTTTAATATTGAAAGGATTCTGTTTCATGCCATTATGTTTTTGTTACCTTTACCTAATTTGTTCTTGTACATCATACATGGATAATACACGTGTCTGTGTATGGATATTTTTTTTTCAATTAGAAGATAGCACGGCTGGCCAAAGTACTCAACTAATGGACTCACACCTATGATGCTAGTTAGAAAGTAAACATGCATTCGCGCAAAATAGCCCAAAAAACTTTTATCAGCATATTTTTGTTGTCAATGGTATCACTTCCAGATCCATTAACAAAAATTGACCTCTGAATTTATTTCAAAGAATTTCCGCAGGTGCGGATCTAAACGTGTCTAGACCCCCTCCCCCCCTGGAATTTCTGAAAACACCTTCAAAAGCTTTATGAATGGAAGAAGTTTATTATTCATAAAAAGAACACTTTGAATTCTGTAGGTTGTCACGAGAGAGAGGGAGAGAGAGAAAGGGGAGGGAGAGAGAGAGATCCTCAAAAAGAGAGATGCACTCACCTAAAGTATCTTGGAGAAGCGCTGCTAATATGGAAATGCTGAGGAAATTCAACATGGCTCGGTGTGGAATTACCTACAAAATAAATGAGTTTATTAATAAAACACAAAAATATAAAGCTCAAATCGATCGATTTGTCATCCTATTGTTTGATCAACTATAGATATCTCTGGTTTTGATAAACTCAGTGGAGTCGAGATTTACGAATATACGATCGAAGTCTATTATTTGATTTAAAAATTTAATTATTTTTTCAGATGATTTCTTCTCAGACGATTTTTCAATATAAATTTATGTTCGTAAAGCCTTAAACAGAGTATCTAGTATTTTCTCCCCAGAGGTGCTGGTTACGCGTACGATGTCTTGAAAATATAATAAAATATATGTTCGAAGCATCGATGTTTTCATTCAAGAAAAATATTTTTGAATAAAATAAATTAAAAAGTTGAAAGAAAGAAAGAGGGGATATCATTATTCACATACTCACACGCCTAATAGATATCTCCCATCTTTTAAATTAAAGTCTAAATCGATGCCCCTGGTTCCCACTACTAACATGGACCATACGACACCCAGATAAGAAGTAAACACAAAACAAACACCATATTATTGATTCCATTCTCCTAATCACGGTCGGGATTTTAACACGTATTTTGTGTATTAAGGAGACAAAATGAAAAATGATAGGAAATGGAGTCCTTTAGGTTTTAAAGTCCTAAATTTTGTCAAAATACTCGATCCCCGGAAGATGCGTAGACGCATTTTGCTGACGTCCACAGATGAACTTAATATATGTGGGTTGTCGTTTATCTGTTTTCCTTTTTTAATTTTATTTATCTAATTTAAAATCCAATACACTATATTATAGTATTGTTATATATGTTTTATTCTTCTATTTAACTTGTCACTGGTCGCTTGCAAGCTTGTTTTGAAAGATGTTTGAGGTTCTGATTGATAATGTCTTTTATTATAATTGTTTTTGGAGACAAGGCCTTCCAATAATCCATCAGAACTGAATGTCCCATGGGTAACAATTGTGCCCAATGATTAGCCCCATCTGTTTTTGTATTCCTGTGAAGTAGAATTTATTAAAAACACTTGTTGTGACATAAATTTAGAAATACACGAGAAAAAAAAAATATTTTTTATGGTAATCAATTTTATGTTGATTTTTCTATGTCAACTTTTCTTAATATACCAGTTTTTTTTCAGAAAATTTGATATACGAAAACCAAGTCACTTAAAAAGCATTGTCAAAAAGTTTTGTTTTTGTCTTTGTATCAACAAATTTATTACAACTCAAGATCGTTTTTAATTATTTGCATCAAGAACAAAAGTGGTATGAATTATCTATAACAAACATGGCTGAACAACTTTATGAAAGAAAACACGCAATAACAAACTGAATTTGACCACATATTTTGTAAGTTTTTCTTTGTCAACTTTTCTTTTCAATATACTTCACTGTATTTTTACACCCTGCATATATGGGATATATGTCTGGAAGGTGATTAGATACGCAAAAACATGCTCTATGCAAAAACCATTTCTAAAACGAGGTAACCTACTGACAAACAAGTTGATGAAACAAGGATGTCAACGGCCTCGTTTAAAAATCAGCCTTCTCGCTACAACTATCACTTCTAATACTGACTGGCATTTTTCATATTATATATTAAGCAATTGTTTACATTCTGAATTGACCCTAGATTATAACAAGGAGCATATGGTGGTTGACAGGGGGCATTTTTAATCCAAGCCACATTATCCCGCTTTTTATGTTTTAAAAGGTCCATGTTTGATATGGCCCTGATTTGTTTTGGCTAAATGGACTTATGAGCCTGAATCCCGTTCGTTGCATTCATGTTTCGTTCGAAAAACCTATATGGACATTGAGAGGACGATTTACGGCAATTGACAATGTATACAGACATGTGTTCGCTCTGAAGTACTAGTATCTAACGGTATTATTAATTGAGTTTCCTCACTGCCACTAGAAGGGGGGGGGGTAGGGGTCTTATTTGAGGCACTTTGATTTATCATCAATTTTTAAATCTTTTAGGTATGCAAATGAAATACTTGTAGATTTAAGAGAAGATATTAACCAAGAAATCAATCTATCATAAAGGATTCTCTACGGAAAACAACCGGTCACGTTGGGTCACCAAAAATGGCCTTCATTGACAGTAAATGACTGAAAAACCTGTACGTCTGTTCAGCTCTACGTGAAGTGCTCTACTGAGAAATGATATCGATGACAAGTGTACATCCATACAAATCGATCGATTATCTAATTACGACATGACAGTAGTATTTTAATTGTCATTTTAGTACATTTTTGGACACCTAATGATTTTATTGTGACCCCCAGCAATACTTGAACATACATGGATTAGGACATCATCGATGTGCAGTGCTGAGTGTTTATAATTAGTGCATTGTAGGGCTTAATGGGAAGGAATTTATATAACTTGTTTTTAACATGAGTGACCTTGTTTTGTGAAAAGGTCAAACAAATATACATATATGAACCATCACTATGTACATTTATTTAGATTTTAAATTTTTAATCAGAAAAACAAAATTTATTTTTGAGATGGGCCGATTATGGCCCTTGAAGCCTCTACTTCTTATTCTTAAATTTAGAAAAATACTTTTTAAAATTTCGTACAACTTTTTAGGTGGTATTGTATATACCACTCTTGAAAATTGTACACTTCGCAAGATCAGCTTTGCTGGTGAATTTCACTTTATGTCTTGGTACACTGTATGTAATTTAAATATTGAGAAATTAGAATGTAAAATACAAGAAAAGATCATCTGAGTAATTATTTTAGGATTTTCAAAGACCAACTGATAAAACATATTAAAGTAACGTCAATTTAAAACTGAAAGGTTTCTTTCAAAAAAAATATGTTGCCGTCTTTGCTCCTATCCGGAGTGTTCCCATTTCGCCTTAACTGTGAAATTCAGGTGAGAAAAAGTTAAAAAGTACTAAGGCGAAATGGGAATTCTAATATTTGTAAATTTTATTATAATTTCAATAATAATTTTCTTTTTATATTGAATTTAATAGTTAATGGAAATTCATGAATACAGTGAATGAAATAATACATGTAATGCCAAGTATTTTTTAAAAAAATACTTTATGATGAATATATAAAATCTTCATCACCTGAATTCACCTGAGAGCTTACTAAGGCGAAATGGGAATGCTAAATTTTACAGTTAAGTCGAGATGGCAACAAACCCTCCTATCCCTAA